GGGTGGAAGGGTTGCGTAGACTTCACATACATTTTTGTACCATTGTAGATGGGCACCGCCGCTTTAATTCAACTCCTACCTACCATCAAAGTCACTCTTTGTGTAAAGGTAATTGAGAAATTGGCTAACATGTATAATTTAAAGATGTGACAAGTTTTGGGTTTTTTCTGATTCACCAAGAGAACCAAACCTAGGCTTTCAAGTGTAGAACAGTTGGGAAGTAACTAGGACTTTGCTTATAATTAAATTCAAGCATTTTCCAACTTGGATTCGCTTCTCAACTTCAGATTTAAAATTTGAAACACATTTTCTCATAAAAACAATGTTTTGAATGATGGCAATTGGATTCTCTTAATAGCTCTCTAAAACCTTTTGGGAGAGATAGAAAACGGGAACCTGTGAGGGAGAAGGAGGGAAAAAAAGCATTCATTAAGCAACTACTATGTGCTAAGTACTGTCTAAGTTCTGTATTTCATTTAACTTTACAACAGCTTTAGGAGGTGGGTGCTATTCTGGGCTCTATTTGAGGAAACTGAGGTAGACAGGTTAAATGTCCAGGGTTACACAGCTAGTGAGTGTCCGAGGTCGGATTTGAATTCAGGTCTTCCTGACTCCGGCCCCAGTGCTCTGTCCAGTGTGCCACCTAGCTGCCCCATCAGTAACTTTAGGAATGCTGTTTGCAGGTTGTAAATGGAGTGTGGTGGGTCGAGGGCTTTTAGTGTGAAGGCCAGGGGAGGAGGAGCTTGAAGGTGGTTATAATAAAGTAGTGTAAGTCATTGCATAGTAAGATAAGGTCGTGAGAGTTGGTTGGCAGCTTTGCACTCGTCTCTTTGTTTCTCTCTTCCCATGTTGGTGGGCCTGCACACCAAGAGTCTTAATTCTTTTCTAACTTGGGCCGCTTGTCTCAGGGTAAGAGCGGGCCAGATAGAAGTGGACTTGCGTTGCAGGAAGGTGGGCAGACCTCCATGCTGAGTGGGTTAATTACCCAATAAAACACTGGCCAGTTGTGACTTTTCTGTTTTTGTTTCTGGTCATTGAGGAAGGTCTGTTTCTGCTTCAGAAGTGATTAGGCTTATGCCTTGAAGAGAAGCTTATGAAGAGTTGGATCAAAGCAGGAAAATGGCAGTTTGGAGGTCTGTATCTTCATACTTAGACATGGGAGATCCGTTGTATTGGTCATAGAGAATAGCATGTGCCCTTTGTAGATTGAGAGCTGGAGGGGCTGGAGAGGTCATCTAGGCCCAGAGAGGCTCAGGCCTTGCCAGGTAGCAAGGAGCAGAGCCAGATTTGGTCTCCGATGGCCGGACTCTAGTTCCAGCGTTCTTCCCACAGCAGCAGAGACCAGAGTCTCTAGTTTGGAGTGATGGAAAGCGATGAACTCAGTCAGAGGAAGATTCTTTTGCCAACAACTTGGAGGACAAATTGGAGAAAGAAGTGGCCACTGATTGGGATTTGGGGGTGGTGGGGTGGGAGGGTGAAGTTAACCAGGATGTAGTAAGCACTTTGTATTTATTTACTATGATGCCAGTGTTACCGACCTAGGTGTGACTAGGACGATAACGATATCATCAGTAGAAGTCAGGGCTTTGGGAAAAGGGGCAGGTCCATTTTGGGTATGTTGAGTATGAGGTATCAATGGAACATCCAGCTGAGGAGGGACAGCAGGTAGTTGGCAGTGATGCATTGCAGTTCAGGAGACAGATTGGGGTCGTCTGGCATCTGTCTATCCATCTGTCCTTAAGACTCATCTTCTTTGTAGAGAAAATTGAATTGGGTATGGCAGGTAGGCTATAGAGGACAAAGAGAGAGAAGAGGTTGGAGGAGTCGCAGCATATGGGGGGAGGGATGTGGCAGATGTTTCAGTGGAGGAGAGCAAGGAAACAGGAGGCAAACCAGAAGGGAGCAGGGTCCCAGGAGATAAGGAGAAAAGTGGATCTGGACAAGGGGGCAGTCAGTAGCGTCAAAAGCCGTAGAGACGTAATGGAGAATGGCATTGGAGTTAGCAGCCGAGATCCCTGTTCCCTGGAGAGGGCTGCTCAGGTGGTCGTGTGGGAGTGGAGGAAAGGGGAGACCCAGGGGTGGAGGGATCCCTAAGAAGAGTTTGGCCCTGACTGGGAGAAGAGAGATGCACCTGGAGACACAGATTGGGAAAAAAAATGGCTTCCAGGGCCATTTTGAATAGTGTCATGAGGCAGGCATGCCCTCACACGAGTTGGGGATTGGCAGGCTTTGGTGGGCGTGTTGTGCCTGAGACTGAGCTCTCCGTGCTCCAGTCCAGCCTCTCCAGAGCTGCTTGACCAACCTTCCTAAAGTGAAAAACCCTGGAGTCCTCTCTGGACTTTGCTGCCTCAGTGACGTTGGCCTCGACCCCTCTGAACACCAGTTTCCTTGGTTATAAAATCAGGGACTTGGACTGTCTGGCCTCTAAGGCAGGGCTTCTGAGCCTGGGGTTCATCAGCCCGTGGTGTCCTTGGACATTTTAAGGCTTCCGTAAGCTTGGATGGGGTAACCTTGCCCGTCTTCATTTTTGCTTGCCTCTAGCTGAATCCTAGCGTTTCCTTCGGTTCTAAAGGGATCCTCGGCCTCCGCCATGCATGGCACGCACATACGAGGGCTCTGTGGGCAGAGGCAGTCGAGCATCAGTTTCTGAGCCTGGGAATGTGTCCCCAGCCGCCCTTTGTAGGCAGGAGGCCGAGGTCTGCCGGCTTCTCTCAACTCTTGTACGGCCATTGATTCTGTCTGTGAGCGCCACCTGTGCTCCTGGCCATCTCCGCCGGATCTGGGTCCTCTTCATCCTGTTCTCTTCAGGTGGGATCGCTCCAGGAAGCCTTCCCACAGCAGGGCCCTTTCTGCTCCTCCTGGTCTGTTTCATGACTGGGCACTTCCCCACGGCCCCACGTCCATGGGAGACTTCTCCATCCTCTGATTCTTAGTGTGTTCCCTCCTCCACCGCCCCATCACGTATATCCGGCTAAGTTGTTGAGCGGATGAATTCCTGATCATGGGGTCTTTCCCTTGGCAAAGACAGAATTCAGAGCATCGGATCATCCCTGGTGGCTTCCCCTCTGGGAACGATGGGCATGTTGTTTGTCAGCTGAGCTCATCTCAGGGGGGAGTCCTTCACCCATTGCTGGCATTTCCCTCTTGACCCAGGTGACAGTCTCCTTGTGACTCGGTAGACCATTTGTGAGAATCACGCTGGCCCAAGGCTGCGTCGTTCTTTAGCCTCTGAACTAGCTTAGCGGCCCCTCGGACAGCAGACGGACCCAGGTGTGTCTGTACTCAGCCGTTCCGGTTTGACATGGGCCCTGCTAGATAGAATGATTTTATAAAATTTTAAACCAACCTTGGTGTCGTGATTCAAATAAATGATCTCGTCTGGCCTCTGACCACAGCGTGCTGGGAAGTCTGCCCGCCTGCCAGCTCTCCCTGCTCCACCTATGCTCAGCTCAGCTGACCTCCCGAAGCGCGGTCTGACCACATCACACTCCTTCCTTCTCAGACTCTAGCGGCTACTTTTGTCTCCAGCCCATTTGGAGCTGGTGCCTTCCCGCCTCTCTGACCCTGCATGTCACTGGTTCTGTTCATTGATGGTCCAACATCAATGGCCTTTTCGCAGTTTTTTGCCAGGAAACCCCTCCTGATCCGGTCTTTCCCTGGGTGTCCCTTCCCTTCTGTGCCTCCTGGCCCCCCGGCTTCCTTCAAGGCTCCCTCCTGCAGGAGACCTTTCTCGTGTCCCTCCCCACTGGTGCCTTCCTGCTGAGATTATCTCCCCTGTGCACTGTCTAGATCTCGTATGCGTGGTTGCTGTGCACCATTGGGTGATGAGCTCCTGGAGGCAGGGGCCGTGTTGGCCTCTCTTGGTCGTCCCAGAACTTAGTGAGCATTTAATAAGTGAATGGCCAGTGACCAACTTCATCGTGCTCGTCCGTCGCATTCACAGGCCTGGATCTGTTTAGGTGCCTCCCATCCTTGGGCGCCAGCTCTGCTCCTAGGTCTGTGCTCCCACAAAAAGTGCTGCCGTGGCTATTTGGGGGCATTGGAGTCCTCTTCTCGTTGACCTCGTTGAGGGATGTGCCTAGCAGCGGGCAAAGGGGGTGAAGCTTTCTCCATTCTTCGTCCCGCGTGCATTCTGTGCCTGTCTTTCTACGATCCCTCCAATATCGATTCATCTATCTTTTGTCTGAGCATGCTGAACCTGGAGTCAGCAAGACCTGGATTCAAATCTGGCTGCATGACCCTGCGCAAGTCACTTAATCTCTGTCTGTTCTCTGTTATATGGGGGTAACAATAGCACCTGCCCCACAGGATTGTCGGGAGGATCAAACGAGACCCTGTTTGTAAAGTGCTTTGTTCACTGGTTTTTCGGCTGTGTCCGACTCTTCGTGACTTCATTGGGAGTCTTCTTGGCAAACATGTTGGTGTGGTTTGTCATTTCCTTCTCCAGCTCAGTGCTGATGGAGGAGGAGGAGTTGAGGCAAACTGGGTTAAGTGACTTGCCCAGGGTCACACAGCTAGTGAGGGTCTGAAGGCAGATTTGAACTCAGATCTTCTTGACTCTGGGTCCAGCACTCTGGCCACTGCCACTGGCTGCCCTGTAAAGTGCTTAGCAGGCGATGAAAACAGCGTGTAGGTGTTAGCTGTTAATCAGGTGGGTGTGAGGTGGGCCTCAGGGGGGTTTTGATTGGCATTGCTCTTGATGTTGGTGGGTTGGTTTTTATGTGGTCAGTGGTTCCCAATTCTGTTGAGAATCGCTTGTTTCTGTCCTTTGCTTCTGTATTGGGGCGTAGCTTCTGCTTCCAAGGAGTTCTTTAAATTGGTAAACTTTCTAGGTGAAAATCTATTACTTTAACACATTTGGTCATTTTACAAACAAATTTAAGGAACAGTGACTCTGTGGCGGAAAGTAAAAATTCCACTTTGCTTCTCCGCAGGCCAAAATCAAATTTACCTGTTGGCCTTGTTGTCATTACATTGAGGTTTTTTCCATTTGTTTCCAGGTTAATAATCAAGATGGTACATACTGAAGCCTTCTCTCGTCCCTTGAGTCGGAACGAAGTTGTTGGTTTGATTTTCCGTCTGACGATATTTGGTGCTGTGACGTATTTTACCATAAAGTGGATGGTAGATGCAATTGATCCGACCAGGAAGCAGAAAGTCGAAGCTCAGAAACAGGTAAGGCTTGTGGATATTGGATGGGCCTTCTTCTCATTGTGTTTAAAACAAGCTGTGCACCCCTTTGGGCCAGGCGTGACTTGAAGCCAATGGGCCCCATTGGGTAGTCTCATTTATTTCTTTTTAGACATTTTTATTGTTGTCTTTTGTTTTTATGTCTCTTCATTTCCAGAGATGTCCCTACCCACCCCCATTCCTCTGCCTGGGGAAAGACGAGTCTGGGCATCACATTTAACCAGCATGTAAATGTAAACCTGGTAGACATCAGCAGGCCTCCACCTCCGCACGCCTGAGGTCCAGGACCCTTCCTCCTTCCTCCTTCAGGGTCAGCCCTAGTTGTTTCACTGCATTCAGTTGTGTTTTCTCCTCCCATTGCTCTCCTAGTTTTCCTTACCTCACTCAGCACCAGCTTATATAAGTCTTGCCATGCTTCTCCGAATTCTGCAGAGGATTCATTTCTTACCTTGCAGCAGTATTCTGTTACATGCAGGGACCACAATGTACTCATTCCCCAGTTGATGGACACCTACTTTGTTTCCCATTCAATGCCCTCACAAGAAGTTGTGACTGTGTTGGTGTATGTGGGACCTTTCTTTGTGTCTTTGACAACATTTGTGACAGTGGGACCTTTGGATTAGAGAGTATGGACATTTATTCAGTTTCTAAAAAGCATAATTCCAGATTGATTTCAGGAATGGTTATTGGCCATTTCTCCCTCAGGTGTTCACAGTTCCTCCCATAGTACCTTACCGTGCCTGCTTTTCTGTAATCCTTCCAGCACTGCTTTCCTCCTCCCTCTCTCCCTCCCTTCCTTCCTCCCTCTCAGACTTCCTTCCTTCCTCCCTCCCTCCCTTCCTTCCTTCCTCCCTCCCACCCTTTCCTCCCTTCCTCCCACCTTTCTTTTCTCCCTTCCTTCCTTTGTCATTTGTGCGCGGGCTTTGAGTGTGAGGTGAAACCTTAGAGTTGTTTGGATTTGCATTTCTCTTCTTAGTGAATTGACGCAATCTTTCACATGATTGTTAGAGCTTGTGATTCCTCCTTTGAAAGTTGTTACTATTTTTTGACCATTTACCCATTGTTGAAAGGCTCTTGGTCTGAAGAATCTGTGTTAATTCCCAATAAGGAAACAGTGATTATGCAGAATCCTGGGACTCTGGGAACCTCTATCTGAGAGATCTTCTAGGAAGCATCCCAGCTGATAGGGTCTCTTGGTGTATTTGAATTGATTTTGTTCATGCAAAATGCTTTTCAAAGTCCTGAGATGGAAATGATGGTTTTTAATTTTTGTCTCATTGCTTTGTAATTGATGTCTTATATTTTACTTGATCTTTCACTGAAAAGCCAGGGGAAGGAAGAGAAAGGCAAAAAGATCAGAAGGCTAAACATGGGAGATTCTGATTAGGATGCTCTTCCCAGTCAGCCTGGAGGGAATTATTGACGAGGTTGGACAGCCAGCTTGTCTTAGTCAATATTACTCCTATTTAAGTTGTTGTTATAGTGGATGTGATTGAGGTTGAAAGTCTGTTTTGAAAAGCTTCTGGAAATAAACCTTTGTAGTTTGCAGTTCTGTGGCTGATTTTTGGGTATAACCAATAAACCTAATTTTGTGATTTAGTTTTAATGTACTGTAGCAAGGAGGGATTTTTAACCTGGGATCTGTGGAGAGATTTTTTGCGGGGGGGGGGGAGTCTATGAACTTGGGTTTGAAATTTAGCATTTCCCCAATTATTTAAAAATACTGTTCTGAGAAAGGGTCAGAAATGTCTTTCAGCTGATGACCAAAGGAGCCTTTTTTTAATTTAAAAAAATATTTATTTTTGTTCTGAATTGCATGTAAAAACAATTTTATCATACTTTTTTTCAAATTTCCAGTTCAAAATTCTCTCCCTCCTCCCATTGAGAAGGCAAGCAATGTGACATAGATTATACATGTGTAGTCAGGAAAGATACATTTCCATGTAAATCTTGCTGTGAAAGCAAACACAGACAAAAAACAAAAACGAGAAAAATAAAGTAAAGAAAAAGTATCTTTGATCTGCGTTCAGGCTCCACCAGTTCTTTCTCTGGAGAGGGACAGCAGCTTTCATTACAGGTCTTTCAGAATCATCTTGGATCACTGTATTGCTGAGAATAGCTAAGTCATTCACACTTAATCGTCATACAGTGTTACTGTTACTGTGTACACTGTCTCCTGGTTCTGCTCATTTCACTTTGCATCAGTTCATATAAGCCTTTCCAGGTTTTTCTAAGCTCAGTCCGCTCATCATTTCTTACAGCACAATAGTATTCCATCACATTCATATACAGCAACTAGTTCAGACATTCCCCAGTTGATGGATGTAAAGGGTCCATTCTTCATCAGAAAGATGAAGGCCCCTGGTCTTGAGTCCAGATAGATTTATCCCAAACAGTAGTTTTCCTCTGGCCATTTGAGGGTGTGGACGCTGGCATCTGGGGGTTTTAGGCCTCTCTGCAGTGAATTGTGGCTTAACTTAAATGCAGCTGTTTTTCTAATCGGATAAAGAAATGAGTCTGTGCTTCCCTGCAGCCTGAAGAATAGGCAGCCAGAATGCACCTCAAGTGCTGTTTTGAATGTTCATAGACCCTTCATTTAAGTATAAAGCAAATCACCTGAAAGCCCAGGGTGTCAAGTCAGTCAGTGTTCTTCAGCCACTGCTATGTGCCAGGCATTGTGCCAAGTGCTAGGAATCAGAGAGAGGGAAAAACAGCCCCTGCCCTCCAGGAGCACCTCCTCTCACGGGGGAGACAGCATCCACCTAACTGTACAAACAGGCCAGAGACAGGATGAAGGGAGCTAAGCCCAGAGGGGAAGGGGCTCCAGAAAGTCTTCGTGCAGAAGCTGGAACAGAGACAAGGCGGGAGTGGACAGAGTCGGCCGAGGTGTGGATGAGGAGTGCCTGTGGAGGAGTCCGGGAGAAAGCAAGGAAGGGGCCGGGCCAGGCTCAGCAGCTGAGTGCAGGGCTTTATATTCCTTTATTCGTGGAGGGAACCTGAGGCTCTTGTACTTTAGGGAGGTCGGTTTGATGCCGCTCCGATCAGTTAATTCATAAATAGGCAGCTTTCCTCCTGTGCAGTGACTCTACTGTCTCCCCTTACCAGGAGAGTCTGATGAGTATTTTGAAATAACTTGAGCTTCAGTTACCTGTTTCTTGAGCCATTTACATTGTCTGGTCATTAGCTTTGTGTTTATTTATTTTATAAGTGTTTCATCTTAGGGCCTGAGTTGCCATAAGGGCTGTTTGAACAGGGTGACCTGAGTCTGTTAACATTTGAGTCATACGATCATCAGAATATAGGCTTAGCATTTCCTTTATTTTGGCCCAGATGGGTGATTTCATGGGTGGAGAGAACTCCTGGGCAGGAGATTCCCTCTGCCAGTGAATGCCGAGCTGCATGTGAGTATGGCCTCAGGCACTGAGAGGTGAAGCCCCTTGGGGCTAGAACCCAGCTCCTGCCTCTGAGGCATCCCCAGCGTCTGATGTTTCTCAGATGATGTGTGTCTCGGAAATGATGACTCAGAAAATATCTTTAGGCCTGTGACTTGTTAGGCCTCAGTGCCAAGCCCTGCCTGGGCAGGGATGATATGGCCAGGCCTGGGCTGCGGGGAAGGCACGCGGGCAGCCGAGTGGGCAGTGGACCCGGGAGAAGGTTATTTCTGGTGAGAGGCAGGATCGGTCCAGACCTTTGCACAAGGACAGTTTGTCCAACTGTGTATACTTTGGATTTTATCCCCTTTTGTGCGTTGTTCACGTGTGGTTGGCAAGCCTGCGGAGGGGAGTTCAGTAGAAACATCATCAGCCACGTGTAGCCCCTCCTCAGACCCAGAAAGATGTGGCCTTGGCACTCTTAGCTCAGTGCTTTTGTCTCTATAATCCTCTCTAAGTGGTTCTCTCCACTAAAGTCTAAGCTTCCTGAGACACACCGTTTCATTTTGGTCAGCATGGTACTTGGCGCCTAGGAGAATGCGTAATAACTGCTTGGTGAGGGAGGGCTGGGCTGGTCCTTTGGGGTTGCCCAGAGCAGGGACTGAGCCAGGCATCCTCCCAACAAAGCTTTGTGCTCATAGATTTGCTCCTCCTTCCCTCAGTTCCACCTGGAGCTCTCTCTTGTTACTGTTTTCATCCTGGGTTACTTGCATCTGCTTTCAATTTCTTGGGTCTGGGATGGTGAAAGGCTGAGGAAGGCCAGATTGAAACAGGGACCTTCTGTATTAACCTTTCTTTTGCCCTGGGGGCTCACCAGGGGAGGGTGAGGGAGAGGGCCTGGGAAAGCCACCCAGCCCTTTGTGCCTTCTGAGGTGTCTCACCCACAACCCACATTTCTGACTTATTTAGAAGAAAAGATGGGAGGAAATCATTTAATGTCTATGTCTGTACTCTTTGTTTTCCAGGCTGAAAAACTAATGAAGCAAATTGGTGTGAAAAATGTAAAACTTTCCGAGTATGAAATGAGCATCGCAGCACACCTGGTGGACCCCCTTAACATGCACGTAAGGGCCTCTCATTTCATTCTAGAGTCTCCATTCAGTTTGGCATAGCAAGGAATTTCAAAAACAATTTGTAATGGAAATATCTGAGGCATAACAAACCATTAGAAACTTAGGGCGTTATTTTTCCTTTTTATAACAGGAGAGATGACTCTCCCTGTTTGAGTTGGAACGCATTCCTGTGTTCTTGTGGTAACTTATTTTAAATAGTAGCATAATAACCATAAGACTCTCGCCTTCACCTGTCTGAAAGAACAGACGTCTGCGAAGTTTGCGGCCAAACGAGTCTGCATTTGAGTTTGCTTAGATAAGGTCAGGAGAGCTCCTTGTTGAGTTCCCCTTTGATTGGCCTGGGTCTCTGATCAAGAGAGGTGAGAGTCTGGTCTTCCAACAGAGCCTGTGCCCCGAAACAAAGTGGGAGTCAGGCAGTGGGCGGCAGTCTCCTGGTGCCTCCTCCTTCATCTCACTGTCTCTGTGTCCATGAGCTTCCCTCTTCCCTCTCCGCATAGAATTTTAGCCACACAATAGGAATGTTAAAATCCCTTGAAGTTGCACGGAGTTGGATAAATAGCTTAGACAGATTTAGTTGTAAATATGGGGGGGGAATACATTTGTGAATGCTACCATCAAAGTGTCCTTTAGATACTGCCACAAACCTCCCCGGCTCTGCATACTGTATAGCTGTGTTTAGCAACACCCTCTCCCCCCAAAAAAACCTCCTGAAACACCCCAAGTTTGTTCCTTTGGACCAAGTTAAATGTAGGTCCACAAGGCTTTTCTTGTAAGAGGTGGTACTTTCCAAAATGCTTTGCTTTGCTCTTTTTTAGGGTATTTAATTACGTAGAGAGTCTCTAGTTTAGTGCTTGGAGGTCCTCGGTCCACTGATGCAGGGTGCAGCTTCTGCGCCTTACCGTGAGTTGCTGCAGTCTGCCCCAGGGCCAGCCTCTCCAAGCCTGGCCCCCGTACAAAGGAGCGGCTGTATCCCAAGGCTTCTGCCTTCACTCAGCTTCTGCCAAAGTCTGTTCTCCATTGATAGATCCTTGGAGACCGGGGGGTTGTCTGTGAGCCAGGAAGCAGCGCTGGAGTAGGATGTCAGTGGAGGTCTGGGGTCCGCGCCCCATGTTTGCGCTCCTTGTGGCGTGTTCCAGGTGACCCCTGGCCCCGCCAGCTCTGGAAGCTGCTGTCACGTTGGACTTTGTGCTCCCAGCCTCAGATTGCACCTGCCTTCCAAGAACGAGCCTCGCCACCAGCGAAAGAAAGCAGATGCAGTCTGGGTTGTCCCTGTTAGCTACTGCAGGGACTGAAGCAGTCAGTGGTGGAAATGGGGCAGAGCCTGCTAGCGACCACGTGGCTTTTTGCCCGTCTCTAGACCTGGATGACACTGTCAGTACCCAGATGGGAGAGCCTTGTCCAGTGATGGACAAGAGGGTCTCATCCTGGAGGGCCTGAACCAGTCACAGAGCCCCCTGGATCTCCCCACCCTAAACTCACTCTAAACAACATTAGGAAACAGGGACATACTGGGTCAGCAGAAAGGTAGCTCTCCAGCTTTCCTTGGAGAGGCGAATAAAGGAGGAGATGAAGGTGGTGAGGCAGTAGGAAGCTTGTTGTGGGACCTTCCCCCCTCTCGTACGCAGTGTCTGTGATGTGCATTTGCAGAAAAGCCACCGAACCAAGGATGGTAACCTAGGAGCCAGCCACTGTTTACAGAAGACGAGGCCCTAGACTTGGTCGCTTCAGTGCCGAGTGGGCGTGGGGGAGGGGCAGACGGCACCATTCGGGAGGATGCTTCGGACGTCCTTCATGCTTCCTTCAAGAAGGGAGTTGGGAGGCGGGAGGGATGGTGAGCCCAGAAAAGCAGAACAAAGCCATGGACTCTGTTTTCACTGATTAGAGATGATCCATTACTGGTGGGGTGTCATCCATTCTGACCCAGCTGGCTGTGTAGAGTCAAACCGCCGACTGGTGAGAGCAGAGATCGAAGTCTCAGAGTCAAACTAAGAGAAGAAGAGCGAGAGGGTGATGGGAGCAAAGTTCAGGCCACGGCTGCATCAGCACAGGCTGCCACTTCTTCACTGCTGTCAGTCAGTAATAATGGGCCCAGAGAGCCCAGGAGCTGCCTTAGCCAGCCAATGCTGGCTCTCTTTTCTAGAGGAAGAAGGCAGCAGAGGAGCACTCTGTGCTGAAAGCACAGAGACGTGGGGCACGACTTGCTTTGCACCGTAGTCGTGTGGCGTGTGGGTCTGTGGAAGAGTGTACAAAAGGCTGGCCTCAGCTTCTGCTGCCCTGGCCCTTCCCGGCTTTGTGACCAGGTGCAGGCTTCCTAAACTCTCTGAGCCTCAGGCAGCTCTCCAAGGCTCGGAGAGTAACTGTGAGGTGGGCGATGGTGGGCAGACGATGGACCCCAGACCCTGGCCACGCCCCGTGGTCAGGACTCTCTGGGGGCCTTGGTGCATCCATGGACGTCCTTCTGGCCACCTTAGATCTCAGGCCCTTCATTTCCATGATGAGGGCATCAAGGCCAGTGTACCCCCACAGGCAGAGCCCCTCTAGGGCACACCTGACTGATGGTCGTCTGGCCTCTATGCCTTGCTGCTAATTAGGAGGAGGGGCTTCCTTGGGCCCTGCCTGAGTTAGCAGCTTTTTCCCCCCACATCACTCCTTCCCTCTGGCATTTTCCCTCCTGTGGCACAGCCCTCGATGCATGTTACATGCACCACCATGTTCCTTTGGAGTGTTCCCTTTTTGAGGCTAGATTGTCCCCGGTCTCTTCCCTGGGCCTTCCTGCAGCATGAGCTGGAGGCGTTTCCTCCCCAGGTGGCCTTCCAGCTCATCTGCGCCCCTCAGACTCTGTCGAACACCTGAGCCCAGGGGTTCAGAGGTCACCAGATGAGGGCAGAGTGCAGCGGGACTGTACCGGCCACTTCCACAGCCTCCTCTGTGCTGAGCACACAAGAAGAGGCAGGAGACAGTCCCTGCCCTCAGGGAGCTCACAGTCTAAGGGAGGAGACCACAGCTGGTACAAACAAGCTCCTTACGGAATCAATAGGAAATAAGTAGCAGAAGAAAGGCATTGACCTTGAGGGTTTTAGAACAGATTTCCTGGAGAAGGCGGGACTTTAGTTGGGACTTCAGGGAAGCCAAGAGGCGGATCGAGGAGGGAGACGGCCAGAGAACATGCCCAGAGCTGAGAGAGGGAGGGTCTTGTTCATGGAACAGACAGCAGGCCGGAGGCACTGCATCAGAGAGTATCGGGGAGGGGGTGGAAGAACCCTGGAGAGGTGGGAGGCGGACTGGCCCGTGAAGGACTCTGAGCACCAAAGGACAGAAGGAAAAGATACAGGCTGCAGAGAAGCTTGTTGTCCATGGAACGGGCATTCCAGGAGGCGCCTGGCAGGCACGGATAGCGTTCGTTTGGGACTCCGGACTGGGAGGGGAATAAGGAGTCGGGGGAAGGGGGAATGGGGCCTGAGTGGTAACTAGGATAGGTAGAGGGATGGTGTTAGTCGTTGACGGGAAGCTGCCACTCCTCTTCCCAGACGGGGCTGGAGGCTGGGCAGGAGACCCTTACAGCCTGGGATGGAAGAACATGGTCAGATGGAAGGCCCCTGCCTCCACCCCCCATTCCCTTTCCAGGAGGCGTCAAAGCCGGAGATGGACGGTTGGTGCCCCTTCATCTTCCCTCCTGGGACGGGCATTGCAGCAGCAGTTTCTCACCTCTTTATTTAATCTTGTAATAGAATTGTGAGATGTAATGAGAGTCTAGTGGTCCAGTGAAGGACCTGTGTTCAAATCCTGCTGCAGATGCCTAGAATCTTGTGACTTTGGGAAGACCACTCCGCCTCTGAACCTCGAGTTCCTCATCTGTCGAATGAGAGGGCTGGTTTAGCCTTCAAGGGCCCATCTGTCTCTGGAGCATTGCTCTTACACTCTTACTACGAACTTTTTCCCTAATAAAGTTTCATTTGATTACATTTGACTCAGGGCTCCTGTCTGTCAAGAGAATTTTGATTCCTGACTCTGCATCTGCACGGTTTTGTGTCATGTTCAGATTTGATTAAGTGGTCATTAAAATGTTCCGCAGCTGGGTCCAAGCACAGGTCTCTGGAGCATTGCAGTAGAGACCTCCTTCCCACCTGATGAACTGAGGTTGGCCCTTTACCCAGGTCTGAATCCATCCAGCCCACGTGTTTCTGTCTTTTCCACAAGATTTGCTTGGTGAAAGTCCAGGCAAACTATTTTTAGATCTCCCCTGATTTGCCCTCATCGGTCAGCGGAACAAGGTGACGTCAGTTGGGATGGCACCGTGCTGAATCGGTGACCCGGCTTCCTCTTCTGAATGCACTTTTGAAACAACACATTCTAGCATTTTTCCGTGGTCTCATCCCGCAAATCCCCGGGGCCGTGCTCAGTGATCCCTCCTCCAGCTCTTTCTGCACCCCAGGACGGACTTCCTAGGGGTGGTCATTGTCTGGGTATTAGATGGTTCTTGTATCCCAGCAAGACACATCAGTATTGTAGGGAAAAAGTATTCCTGACCCATGGACTAGAAGCTTTCGCTTCCTGATCCAGAACCTTGTAATGGATGAGCAGAGCTCTGGTTTGATTGGTATGGCCACTGATTACAGGAAATCCTTCTGAACATGGATGCCACTTCCCGCATCTTAGCTGTGGGTCATCTCCCTTTTCCCACAGCACAGTATCTTTTATCCTAAGTGGGCCCACGGGCCATCTGATCTGATCATGGTGTTCATTGCCTCATTTAATTGTCGAACTAATGGTAAAATGAGCTGCTATAAAACTGGATTGCATCAGAAGCCTGGGGTTGTGTCCTGGCTGTTTCACTCCATGTATGCCCTTGGGCAAGTCATTGTCGTTGAACCCTGGGGCCTCAGTTTCCCCATCTGTCAAATGAAGGGGATCAGATTGATGACCTCAGAAGTCTCTTGTAGCCTTTAGGGCTAGAATGCCCTGGAGTTAGAATTCCTAACGATTCTGTCTCTCTGCCTAATTCTTTGTTCACATACCATGCTAGAAAGACCTTCCTCCCCTCCCAGACTCACAAGTGCCCTGAATTTATTACTTGATTGGGTTAGTGCTTACCGGCTGTTCGTCTCTCCCTCGTCTGACCTTTTGTGTCTCTGCTGCTTCTCACCTCAGGTTACTTGGAGCGACATCGCAGGTCTGGACGACGTCATCACAGACCTCAAAGACACCGTCATCTTGCCTATCAAGAAGAAGCACTTGTTTGAAAATTCCAGGCTCCTCCAGCCTCCGAAAGGTAGGGAGGGAGTACAGAAGCTTGACGTTGCCGCCGAGACATTCAGCAGCAGCAAGTAATCAGGTTCCCAAAGGTCGCTGCATTCTTGTTATGCCGCTGTCAGGTTATTTTCTAAATAAAAATTGTTTAATTGCATTTATTACCCAAGTATTTAAATAAATACTTTTTTCACTGGGATAGTTAGTCAAATCATAAGTCCGGTTTGTATATTTCAAAGTGAATTAAAATTTGAGAGACAGTGGTGGTGGACATTGCAGAGATCTAAGCCAAATTATTTCAAAATACCTAATATCTGGGGTAGCCAGTAGTTTACGATCATTTTTCTCATTCCAGAGTTTTAAGTATCCGGGTTTTGGCCTACTTTTTAGACTATAACCATTCTTTACACAGGCAGTGGCAAACTGCAAGTGACCTAGAACCTAGATAGTGGAGGTAGGCTAATGTTGAGACTAAGGAATAGGGAAAGAACATCCTTCTGATCTGGGACCGAGTTGGTTAATATGCCAACGCCCAGCAGTCTGCTTGACCCAGGAGCTTGTCTCTCTGATTTTGTATTAAGTTCATAGGCATGAGCTTAATTAATTGTACATTGTTAACCGTGGAGGGAAACTAGTCCCTCTTTTCACCAGGAAGTTGCTTTAAGCCTCGTAACTGAAGAGTTGAGAGGGTTGATTTAGGCTTCAGGGTGGATGTACATTTTTTTAGCTTTGATTTTTTAAATTTTGCTCTTAAAGAGCATTTCCATATATAAAATAGAGCAGAAGAAAGAGGATTGCACACAAAACTAGCCATCTGCGTGCTTACTTTTAAAAGTCCATGTAAGGCATTGGTTGTCCTGTTTGGCTAGCTCTCCCACACGGCGGGGGCAGTGCCTACATCTTGGAAACACGTCGTTGGCCCTCTTTCAGCGACGCTCTGGACAACGGTATTCTGACTCACTCACTCTGGTTAGTTGTTTTGGAGTTTGTCAGGGTTCTGTTACAAAGAGCAGAAAATGAAGAGTGACCCAGAGGAGCTGTCCTTAGCCAGGAGCAGGCAACCTGACCCTGGCTTTAGGACTGCAGGCCAGGCCCCAGGAAGAGATGTTCCCCAGGGGCTGTATTGGCACTGTGGGTGGAGAAATGTAGGCTTTGGTCCCCCTGGCTTGCCAGGTAGAGTCAGTCTGGAAAACAGACTTTCTTTGTAACTGTCACATCAGGTACTCATTTGTGTTGTGCCCCAGCACCCCTGCTTTCTCTCTGTGCCCCACTCTCACCTATGGCTCCAAGAAGCTGTAGCATGAGAAGCAACCCCACCCCAGTAAAACCGTCCTGGCAGATGGGCTGAACCAGGTTGAGGGTAACCGACAGGGCCTCAGACCCATCCGTGAGTTAGGGAGATGTGTGCCCCCAGCAGAATGGGCAGATGAGAACAGTTTGTTCCAACAGCCACGAAGAGGCTGAAGCGGGCACTGGGGAGCGCTTAGAGCTTGCTCAGACGTCAAAAACACCAAGGTCGTCCGCTGCGTCCCGCATTGTGCAGCTCTGCCTCACTTAAATCCGGCTCACACACGAGTCGAGACATTGTGATGCTGTTGGTGCTCTTCGAAAACGAAGGCCGAACTGCCCCCACCTTCTGGAAATGTGCCATTGCTGTCTTGGGTCTGCTCTAGAAAGATGTTTTATGAACGGATAATCTTAGTGCCTCAGAAATAGTTCAAACCACTTGGACCAAAAAACTGCGTTTCAAATACTTATTAAACCATTAATGGAGCAAAGCAGTCAGGTACAATTATACAGTGCTAATTCATCAGCAAGGAGAATAGCAGCGCGTTTAAGCACAATGTTTATATCATGCTTAAAGGTGTTTGTGCCATGCAGGTGTTTGCACCGTGCTGGGACAGATGATTCGTGTTTCTCAGACATGTCTGAGCCAGGATTCACACATCCGTCTTGGGATCTAGCCCTTCTCACTCACTATACTCTGTGGCCAGAATTCCATTTGAGAGGTCACATATGATCTTACTGGTTAAAATCAGTTAAAGATATGTTGAGACTTTGTCAAATCTAGTAAACAGAATATTGTAGCTGACCATTCACAGATGGAAACTTCACTTCTAACTCAATTTACAGTGCTTTTTTTGGCATTGGACGTGAAAGGTTTGCAAAAATTGCTATAACAAGCTCTTCATCAAGGACAGGGAAGTCACTAGCACGTATGGACACTAAGATCAGGCCTTGGTGCATTTCTCTGAGCAAGTAGAAATGAATGGCCTTGGAAAAAAAACAGTGATGGGAAAGCAGCTTCCAGTCAAGAACCATTTATGAAGTGTGCCTGCTGTGTGCCAATCCCTGTGCTAGGAAAGGTGACGGGTAGTCCCTACCCTCCAGCTAAGAGGAAGGTGGTGGGGAGAGTGTACAGAAACTTTGTGTAGACAAGCTATAGACAGGGTAAGTTGGAGAGAATCCACAGGGGGAGGGCATTAGCATTCAGGGGACTTGGGAAAGGCTTCCTGCAAAAGGTAGGCTTTTAGTTGGGACTTAAAGGAAGTCAGGGAGGTCAGTAGTCAGTGTAGAGGGGGAAGAGCATTCCAGGCACGGGGGACAGCTGGAGAAAATGCCCAGAGCTCAGAGAGGGAGGGTCATGGTAGGACAACCAGGACACTGGTGTCACTGGATCAGGGAGTGTGTGCTGGGGTAGGGAGAGGTCCAAGGTGTAAGAAGACTGTAGAGAGGAGTGCCGTGTTGGGGGAGGGGCTTGAAGCATCAATTCCCAAGGGGTCTGAAGGAGGGGAGAATGCTAAAGGCTGGAGTGCTCTAGAGGTCAGTGGGGCACCGGGCATGGTGAGCACGAGCAGGCTGTCTCCCATTACAAATAAGGACCTCATCAGAAATGTACGCTTGGGGAAAAGACCAAGAGAATGTCGGTAGTGCCTGCTCGGAAGCCTCCTCCGTCTGTGTGTACAGTTTTTAACAGTAGTGTGCGCATGCATTGTGAGTGTCCTTGAGGAGAGAACTGCCAGTCTTTCACAGTCTGTGTCTCAGAGCATGTCCTCTTTACCACACAAGTAATGAATGATTGAGAAAGCGAGGACCCTGGGCTGCACTGTGTGTGGGGACTTCATAAAGGGATTTGATTTGTCAGAGCGAAATTCCATCTTCACGGCCCTCCTTAATTAAGCAAAGTGTCTCCCATGCTGGCATCCACGGTGGACAGTGCTCCTTGAAAGGTGCCTCGGAGGATGAGCCTTAATGTCAAACCGGGTAGAGAGGAGCAGGAAGTGTGGCACTGGAGAAAGAGCTCCGTCTGTCCCTGAATTCTCTGGAAATGAGGGGCGTGGACTAACTAGCCTTTGACACACCTTCCAGCTCCGAGTCTAACTGAGGAGATGAATACTCCCCTAAGTGTCCTCAGCCGTCACAGGAAGCTGTTTTGTCCAGAGACTGCCAAGTACAAGAGTCTCTTTAGATGGCAGGGTCTTCCAGATGCTTCTTCCCATGATATGATGCTGATTTTATTCAGGGAGCAGAGCCTCCTCAATGAGATAATCACTCAAGATAACTGTCCACACAAGAAGAAACAGATGGATGAAGAGTGCTTATTGTAGAGGCTGTGAGCATCGAATGGATGGCCTGTGGGACTCGGACATCAGTGTATATGCCTGGGACAGTGAGGAGGAGAGAAGACGGAAGACTGTTCTTTTGTTGACCCCCCGCTTTTCCCTGAGAAAAGAGGCCATCTTTTTAACACCAGTACTCTTCCAGTGATGATGTACCCCCCAAAGGAGCGGTGGAGAAGTGTGTGATGGGCACAAATGAGATGTAACACATCGCAAGGGTATTATTACATAAGGAAATGTGTCATAAGGATGCCATCAGAGAACACAGATGGAGCAGCCTCTACTGGACAGCCCGCATGCTTTCTTGGTGTTCTTAGGAAGTCAGGAGGAATTGAGAAAGGCCCCCCCCAGCATGTTGGCATCTCTGATGAGCCCATGGGATGACGTGGAGAAGGGTCCGAGGGATGGGTAGACATAGATGGGTTGAAATCTGCCTTATTGGAGGGTTCATCCCATGGAAGGTCACGGCTCCTTTGGCATGTTGGAATATCTTACACTCACTGGAATAAAGAAATCCACAAAGAGACTTAAGACTCAAAGTATTTAGGATTTTGCATACAAAAATAACTTACCTTATATTAAGAAGTCAGTTTTGCCAACTCCTGGTGAGATAGGATAGAGTATGCCCTTGGAAGTTCCAGTCATGATCTATGTTGGAGGAGACCCTGCTCTCTGCAGCACTCAGAGAAGCCTCTTGGAGGGAGAGCTTTGTTGGCCACTGTCCTTCTAATTGCTCTCCTTACTCTTATCTGTTCTAGGTCATCAGAATAGCTTGGTGACCTGTGAGAGAGTGGTGTTGATTTCAGTGTGTCAGCAGGAATGACCGATATCTCAGTGGGCATTAACGTGAGAAAATGTTAATTTTCATTTAGCCCGCTGATCGGGTACTAGCGTCATCTGTACAGAATGACCCATTTAATCCAAAGGGTTCAGGACAATTATTACATCTCCTTGGACAGAAGTTTCATGAATGGGCACATAGAGAGATGTTATATGTGTTTACTTAAACACAGACAAACACACCACTTGAGTCTACTTGGAAACTTTACATTAGATGTTTTGTCTTCATTTCTAGCAGTGACGTATCACATACCACAATGCGAGTGAGTAAAAGCAGGATTAGACTGTTGTTCATCACCTAGACCTTGGGTGACGAGCAGCGACAGTTGGACGTCACGTAGAAGGGAGCCCGTGGTAGACACTCTGCGGGACAATCAGACCATACTTATCTGCGTGTTCCTTTTTCAGGCGTTCTACTCTACGGACCTCCAGGCTGTGGTAAGACATTGATTGCCAAGGCCACTGCCAAGGAGGCGGGGTGCCGATTCATCAACCTCCAGCCGTCCACCCTGACAGATAAGTGGTATGGGGAGTCGCAGAAGTTGGCCGCTGCCGTGTTCTCCCTCGCCATCAAGCTCCAGCCTTCTATCATCTTTATCGATGAAATAGGTACAGCCACCCAACACGCAGCCGCAAATAGACTGAACATTTCTGTGTGCCAGATGATGCAGAGGGATTCCAGAGTAATATAGGTGTCTGATACTGTGACACGTCTGCCCACTTTCACGTTCAATAGGATTTTAAAATGTTATGTTCTGTCTTTTTAATGTTAATATTTTAGCATCCAGAGAAGTTTTGTAGGCATAGCTTGGAAATTTTTTTAAAAAATCTGTGTTAACATGAGGACAGAGGTTTTTTAATTATGATTTCCTGACTTCTGTCTTCCATTCTTAAAAAGCAAATCACAAGACCTCATTTCTCTTCTCATCAGAGAATAAAAGTGTTCTGGGTCAGTGAATTTACCGGGCAGTGGAAGCTTCCTCTTTAAACACCTTCGCTATTTAACTGTGGTTATTGTGAAAATGGCCCTTTTTTTTTAACCTAATTTTTGCAGTCCCTGCCTTGAGCAGAGTAGACTGGATGCAGTCTGTCTCTCTCTGGATTCAGGGGTGTGGCCCTGAGGGGCAGTTCGCATTCGGGGCTTGAAGTGTGGTGATGCCCAGTGCAGCAGTGATTGAGGATGCTAGGACTACCCCACCCTGTCCGCAGTGACACCACATGTTCTGAGAGTGGTCGCTTTCGCCTCTTGGATGTCCCTTGACACTCGTGGTTGTCACTTTGGGGTAGTTGAGTTTCTCACGGCTCTGTGGGCTGTTTCGAGACTGCTGTCCATCATCACCTGTGGGGAAGCCAAGTCACTGAATTGATAAAATTAAGTTTCTGAGTTAAAAGCCGGCCCATTCAGCGCAGTCCCCGGAGCCTGGGAGATACTGGCATCCTCACTGATTCCGATGTTGAACTCCAAGCCCCACTGCCACCTTGTCATCGCTGTTCCCTGAAAGAGTTGAGCTAAACTCTGTAACACCCAGCAGGGAAGGCGGGACGGGACGTCACTGGTCAGAATGGCGGAGCTCAGAAAGTCAAAAAGATGTTAGGCGTGTGGTGAAATTAATTAAGGAGCAGTGTAGCAGAAACCAAGCTGGCCTGAAAAACCAGAGGACCCAAGGTCATGTTGTGCTTCTGCGTTCTCTGGATTTGATGATCGTGGGAGTGAAGCAGTGCCTTCACCTCTGGGGCCTGGGCAGCTTAAAGCTGGCCCCAGTGGAAGGGGCTTCCACACTGCTGATCCCCACACCGACTGGGGCACCTTCCTCTCCTCCCCTCCACTGCTGTTCAAGGGGAGGAGAGGTTGTTGACATTTCATGCAAACGAGCCTGTTTCTACCTCAGAACTTCTTCAGATTACTTTCATGGAAATTCGGAATTTGTTTGACTTGATTACACTTAGCATTTAGTTGCATGTGTACTTTGGAAGCTCTTGGGAAGGATCTTCTTTTCCTTTTCTTTTTTTCCCCCTCAAGGAGCTGACTTTGTAAATTAAATTTTGCTTTCAAAGAACACCAGCCCACCTTCTCTCCCTCCCATCTCCCCCTCCCCACTGAAAAAGAGAGAAAAATTTAAACTGTTGCAGTAAATATGTATAGTCAAACAAATAATTCAAACAAATTTGGCATCATCTATTTCTACAATTAATATGTCTCAATATACACTGAGTCCCTCACCTCTTTGTTAGGAGGTGAGTGGCATGTTTCATTATGAGTCCTCTAGAATTATGGTTGGTCATTGCATAGATCAGAGTTGTTACATCTTTCAAAGTTGTTTGTCTTTAAATATTATTATATGATTTGATTTTCTGATTTTGTTCACTGCCCTCAGCATCATTTCATGTTTCTTCTGAAATAATCATCTTCATCCTTTAAAAAAAAGTTATTAATTTATTTTTAACATTTTTAAAATTTTTTGAGTTCTAAATTCTCTTTCTCTAACCCCTCCCTCACTCACTGAGAAGACAAATAATGCGATATTAATTACATATGTAAAATCATGCAAAACATTTCCACATTAGCCATGTTGCCTCCCCCCCCCAAAAAAAAATAAAAACAAGAAAAGGTGAAAGCGTGTACTTCAGTTTGCACTCAGAGCTGATCAGTTCCTGCTCTGGAGGTAGAGAGCGTTTTTCAGCATGGGTCCTTTGGAAGTGTCTTGGATCATTATATTGATCAGAGTCGCTAAGTCTTTCACCGTTGCTCATCCTTACAATATTGCTAATAACTGTGTATGATGATCTGGTTCTGCTCACTTCACTTTGCATCAGTTCATATAAATCTTCCCAAGCTTTTCTGAGACCATCTTGCATGTCATTTCTATTGGCACAGTAGCATTCCATCACAATCATATAACACAACTTGTTCAGCCATTCCCCAGTTAATGAGCATCCCCTCCATTTCCAGTCTTTGCCACCATAAAAAGAGCTGCTATAAATATTTTAGTACATGTGGGTCTTTTTCTTTGATCTCTTTGTGATAATAACCTAGTAGTGGTATTGCTGGGCCAAAGAGTATCCATAGTTTTGTAGCCCTTTGGGTATAGTTCCCAGTTGTTCTCCAGAATGGTTGGACCGGTTCACAACTCCACCAACAGTGCATTAATGTACCAATTTACAACATCCCCTCCAGCAGTTGTCATTTTCCTTTTCTGTCACATTTACCAGTCTGATGATAGGTGTGAAGTGGTACCTCAGAATTGTTTTAATTTGCGTTTCTCTAACCGTTAGTGATGTAGAGCATTTTTTCATGTGACTATATCTACTTTTCAGTAATGAAAATCTTTAGCAGTCATCAAGAGGACTGGGGGTGTAATGGGCTCGTTCCATTGCTCACCGTTGTATTATAGGCATTGAGTTATGTCTCACCTGTTGCCCTCCCTCTACCTTCTTAGCACCTCAGATTTTCTAAGGTGAAGCTTGTTGTGTTATATGTAGAGGTCTAGGAGTGCAACGTGAAGCAGATCTCCATTTGTTAGCAAAAATGAGTATGTGTGGGTAGTAACAGAGAGACAGCAAGGCCCTAATCTTGAATGGGAAGCAGTCAAGGAAAAGTGCTTGGGAAAATAGGGCCAAGGGCATAGCCATCTCCTCTGGCGTCTCTCCCTTAGCCTCTCTGCCCTTTGGGATCTGTTCTCCATTTATATCAGCTGGCCAGTGAACTTTTAAAAGATATTTTCATGATCTGTTTCAAAACAATTGGTTTACTTTGTAATCCTCTGTTCTATGTATTTAAAAATTTGATTCTGAGAAGGTGTCCATAGGCTTCCCCAGCCTGCCAAAGAAGTCTGGAGCACACAGAAGGCTAAGAGCCCTTCATCTAGACCAGACTGATGGAGCTTTTCTGAGGGGTCTTAGCCCTTGTTGGTGGGTAGGGAGGAGGTGGGGTGACTATAAATGATCTCCCTGGCCATTTGTAGGCATCACTTTTCCCTGTGTTTAACAAATCATCGCAGAATACGAAAGTAGTCTGAGAAAGCATAAGTGGATGACTTTTTCCCTTTAATTCTCCAATGACTGTTTATTGAATGATTTTAAAAATGCATTTTTACATCATCTAGCAGTTTTTACAAAGGGCCTTCCTTGCAGTAGCTCCATGGGTTGCTTCATATAGGTAGTATTCATTTCATTTCACAGATGAGGATAACTGAGGCTCTTGAGGTGGGATGATTGTCCTGTGGAGACACACATTTGAGTGTCCAGGGCAGAGTGGGAGCTCATGCCTCCTCACTCCCATAAGCTTTCCTATGCCATGATAGCTTTTTTTTTAGGCAGTTGGGGTTAAGTGACTTGCCCAGGTTCACACAGCTATTAAGTGTCAAGTGTTTGGGCTGAGGCCGGATTTGAACTCAGGTCCTCCTTGTTTCAGGGCTGGTGCTCTCTCCACTGCGCCACCCAGCTCCCCCAGCCATGAGAGCTTTGAGTTAGATTTCATAACGAGTAAAGAATGGGTTCTGCATTCCTGTGATGAACGTATTCTTCTATTCCTTTTAGACTCTTTCCTTCGAAGCCGATCGAGTTCAGATCATGAAGCTACCGCCATGATGAAAGCTCAGTTCATGAGCCTCTGGGATGGGCTGGACACAGACTACAGCTGTCAGGTGGGTGAGGAGCTGGGTTGACTGTTGGGAAGCATTCATTTCTTAGAACATGTGTCTAAAGGCAGTTGTGTTTGATTCTTCGAGGTGACCCTGTTCACAAAATACGAATGGATTGCATTTGTTTCAGGTATTTAGCAGCAGGCAGAACTGTCTTCCAGAGATTTTCAAAACCACGGTTTATAAAGGAATGAAGTGACCAGTTGCACCGGGCCCTTCGAGGATTGGCCTTCTTACCTGGTCTTTTTTTTTCTTTCACCACCTTCTGCTGCTTGTAGATTTTTTTCATCTTACTCATTTTTTCCATCTTCTCTGTTTCCTTCCAAAATTCCTCTGTACTTTTGACTCACCATATCCCTTCTCACCTTTCCCCAGCATTTCTTCTTTCCTTCGCTCTCTCCCCCCGCTCCCCCCAAAATAAAAGGGAACAATTTGGGTTTTTTTGTTTGTTTTGTTTTGGGAAAACAAATCCTCCTGTTCTCTTCTCTCTTACATTCTATAGTCAGTGCAGATGGACAAGTGCAGGGGGGAAGAGAATCCTTAAATATAATTCACTTGTTTGGGTGGGAAATACAGCGTGGCCAAGAGAGAGTTTCATTAAAGGTGTCTGAAGATACCAGTTACTGGTTCTGAAAGGTCTTCCTAACTGAACCAATCTTTTGCTCTTTTGAGGGGTTTCTGATCTCGGTGTGAGCCCATCCACACCTTCTCCTCCTCTCCAGTCTTTGTGCCTGTCCTCCTTTAGTGCTTTCCTAGAGGATCAGCCTGGCGCTGGAGGCTGCCTCTTAGCCCTTCTCGCCCTCTGCAGGGCCCATGGAGCCCTGGCACTGTGGAGCTGTCCTCCTGGCCCCACGAACAGCCTCCCTTCTCTCGGCCTCTTGCAGATCAGTCAGTCCTCCCTGGGAATTGGTCAGTCCTTTGTGCTTTGGGTCTCCCTGTGGACCTCCATGCCTTTGCTCTCCCATTTCCCACTCCTGAAATGTTTTCCACGTCCTTGAGTGTCTCAGAGAGTTGTTGGGACACAAGCTGCACTTCTGCAGAAAGCCTTTCCCAAGCCCCTTCACTGCCAGGCTCTTCCCTCTGTCAGTCACCCCCAGGTCATCCTGCCCACATGTCACTTATCCAGAGTTTGCATGTTGTCTCCCCCATCAGACCGCAGGCTCCTCCAGCAGCTCCCCATGCTTGGCACAGAGCCTGACACCTGGCAGGTGTGACGTAAATGCCTCTTGCCCTGATGGTTTTTGTGCTGGCATTCTCATGGACGCCACTGTGCCAGGTGACCCGAGTGCCGCGTTAACATGGTCAGCCCCAAGCCTGGCTCCTCTTCACAGTGGACCTGTGCGCGGGCCTTCTGGTTACTGGGGTTTCTTCTGCCTTTGTTTCCCTTGAGAATGTTGGGATTGATGGGATGCTGTCTTTCCTGCCTAATGCCCGCTTGTTCAAGTGGTCCATTTCCCTCTGTCTGTGGGGAGATTCCTTATGGAGATTGCCCCTGCATTTGGGCTCGTGGTCTGTGCTCTCTGTGACGTGCCAGCTTGAGCATTTCCTGTTTGTCTGCGTTCTCGTTGGCGAACAGGAAATGCTCCCTGGACATTTGAACAGTAGGCTGCCTGCGTCTCTGTGTGCTGTCTTCTCGGTCTTCGTCCATTTGTCCACCCTTCTCTTTTTTATGTATTTATTTCCAGGTAGTTTGGGCGGTGACGCTCTGCATTTGTGTTCTAGATCAGGGAACACCAAGCCTGCTTCAAGACTACTCTTTTTTTTCATTATTTCCCTTGATATTCTCAACCCTTTTGTTCTTCCATACGCATTATGTTTTGTCTGTTTCTTTGAAGCCTCCGTTGGTAATTTGGTTGGCTCTGAAGATTAATTTGGAAAGTCTCATTTCTGTTGTATCAGCCCAAACACGAATAGTGAGAATCTCTCCAGTTGTTTCCTTTATCTCTGTGAAAATTATTTTCTGGCAGTATTTATGAAAGTTCTTATTTTCTTAGTACCAGAGCTCCCAGAAGTTTAACCCATTTGGTTGTTATTTTAAGTGGATTTTATCTTTCTGTCTCTTAATTTGGGTGTTGGGGTTTTTTTTTCAGCATCATAAATACTGATAATTTAGGGTTATTTGGCATTTCTGCTGCTTTACTGAAGCTTTTATTTCTTGATCCATTTGTTGATTCCTGCAGGTTTTCTAAGTAAACTTTCATCTCCTTAGTAAAGAGGTGATTTTTCCCTCTCTGTTTTTCTTTTCAACGTAACTTGCATATGTAGTGTTGGGTCGGGTGATAACAGACTGATGTCTTTGTGAAGGGCCTGTAAGAAGGAGGCTGTTGCCAACAAGGCTCCACTGAAGTCTTTCCATTGGTAACGGGACAGTCAGCCACTGGTTGAAGCAGCAGTGTTAATGAATCCCTTCTATTTGTTGGTTTTATTTTCTTTTAAAATAAAGCAGAAAAACATAACTGTTCTTATTCAGATGCTATGAGCATTACTGACTGTTGAAAAGGAGGTGCCATTGCAGAGGGACTTTGCCTAACGTGGACGCTGGGTTCCTTTTCTGCCTCTAGGTGGCAGCCTTGCTCAGCTCCTGGAAGGTAGTGTGCTGGGTGCTGGGCTCAGGGGCCCAGAGGCTCAGGCCCCAGGGTAAGGTGTGTCGTGGCGTGGAGCAGTTTATCTTCGGTTTCTGAAATGCCAGTGCTCCTAGAGGCATCTCTTGAAAGGACAGAGAGGAGGTTTTTGTGGAATTTCCAGTCGGTTCTAAAACAGTGTGCTGTGCTTTGATAGTGATGAGGATGATAATGGCGAGATCCTGGGGTCCTCGGGAGCTTGCACAGGATTACGTTCATTTTTCTTGTCTTTTCCTGCTCTTGCTTTTAAAATGGGGGGTGGGGGCTTAGGGACCAGCTCCTTCTGTGTGAGCCCCCAGCAGGTGCAGGCTCAAAGATCATCTCGGGATAGTGGGCATCTGCCCACAGCTACGATGGGAATGGAGGGAGAGCTTGAGTTCAAACCGTGGGGCTCCCCTCGTTTTCTGTCTCACCGCTGCACTGGGGCAGCTTCGGCCGCCCCAGGTTGCTGGGTGGCCAGTGTTTCTCAAGCACTTACAGAGTCAGAGCCTAATAATTTAGAGTCTATCTGACCTCGTCTTTTAAGCAGCGTGCACCCTCCTGTGATGTCCCTGGATTATTGCAGACTTAGAACAGGGGTACTCCGTAGCCCAAACACTCATCTTTATCTTAGCTCTGGGACTTAGTACTTTTTTAAGAGGAATGTCAGTGAGGCAGCTAGGTGGTACAGTGGATAGAGCTCTGACCATGTAGTCAAGAGGACCTGAGTTCAAATCTGGCCTCAGACCCTTGACACTTACTAGCTGTGTGACCCTGGGCAAGTCACTTAATCCTAATTGCCTGACCAAAAAGCAAAAAAAAAATATCATCATACATGGAGCTTTAAATATCAAGAAGATTTAGTAAACCCTCCATTGGGTAGAAGCGATATTATTAGGATATTTAATACGTCTTTCCTTTTACATATGTAGGTCATAGTGATGGGAGCAACCAACCGTCCTCAGGATCTCGATTCTGCTATTATGAGAAGAATGCCTACGAGATTTCACGTCAACCAGCCAGTAAGTTGCGGGGAGTGCCGTGGAGGGCCAGGAGCTGGCTTGTGGACCGTTCCGCTTGTCTTTGCTGGGCTTGGCTCAGCTTTCTTCCCTCCCCGCCCCACTGTGCTCTCCAGTGCCCTGCCTAGAGCAGGGACTTGGGAATGTGCAGGCGGCGAGAGGGCGAGGGCGAGAATCCCCTGCCTGGCCTCATGTCCTTCCCCTCAGCTCCTCTGCTCTTCAGCTGTTGTGGGGCTCCATGTCCATCAGGCCCTCGGCTTGTTCCTCTAGCCTTCGGCGGATGGGCATTTCTTTGTTTTCTTTTCTGTACAAAATGTTTAACTGCCGTGGGAAGAGGCTGTGATTTTGCAGCTTAAACGTTTCCCCTCTTAGATCTGACTGCCAGCAGCTCAGCACTTGCAGAAATGACGATTGCCAAGGTTCGTACGTGGTATTGGCAGCCCGGCCCGAGAGGCTCATTGTGAACTTGGCGTCATCCTCTTTCACTCGTCTCCTTTGGCTGCACCATTTTCTCCAGCCAAGGCAGTTGAGTGTGGCAGCTCAGTGATGGTCAGGAGGTCTGTGACAGACATGAGGAGGTGCTCCAGTGGCCAAGGGACTCTCCAGCCCCACTTTGAGAGGTGCCTCAAGCTCTTGCCCCACTCATTTTGTCTGTAAACAAGAATGCGGACAAGTGACTGATAGTCCATGATTTGCCAAGTGCGTAGATCATGACAGCACCTGTCTCTGGAGCAGCCTGAGGGCCCAGAAGGGGCTGTTACGAGGGTGAAGGGCAGTCAGATAGATGGGAATAGACCTCGGAGAGTGGCAGAATTGGGGCTAACCAGCTGGCAGAGAGCCACCAAGAGTCCTTCTAGTGGAGCTTTGAGGATGGGGGACCAGAGGGTAGCGATGACACACGACCTCCTCTTTAGAGTAGCCAAGGTCAGCAGATTCACACGGACTAAGGTTTTTTAAACTTTGAAGAAACTGGAAATAGAGTTTTCTTCAACTTTGCATCTTTTAATTTTTGTGTGGGGGGTGGGAAAGAAAATTGGCTGGTTCATTCATGAAGCTCTCTACAACCCCCTCACCTTTTCTGCTTCCTGAACAAGTTTCTTCAGGGTGACGAAAGCAGGCGGGAAATTTGATTTGATCCGTTAATTGCAGCCATTTTTAAAGCTCAGGGATTCATTTTGGTCTTCTCTGGCTGCCTGAAATTCCTAAGTGTTTCCTCCTGGTTTCAGTACTATAAAAAACATGAGACTTTCCCCTCTTCTATTTGAATGGACTCTTGGTTGGTTCCAAAAGAAAACAAAGCACTTTGATGGCAGTGATGTGGAAAGCGCTTGGCTCCTCCACGTAAGCAGAGAAGGAAGCTCGGGGCAAAGTTGCAAGTTGGGTTTCAGGCTTTGAGAACAAGGTCCAGAAGCCAGTTTGGGACTTTGATCAAAAACTCTCTTTTCATAGGTGACCCTTGGAGAGCTTTAATGAATGTTCCACCATTTTCCCAGTGGATTCATATGTCCATTTCCTAATTAAACAAGGTCGTTAAGTGTGTTCTTAGTGCATAGCTAGGGGAAAGAGTGGGTGAGTAAATGTACTTAAAAACCCCTCCCAGGGCCAAAGGTTTCTTTGGTTTTTTTACTCAAACTCCAGTGGAGTTCTTTGCTGCCTTCCTGAAGAAGTGGTTTTTACAGCTCCTTTAATTTCATAGTTACTGCAACTAATTCTGTCCTCAGTGATAATGAGGATAAGAGATGAATTATTACTGAGAAAAAACCATTTGTGCTCCCTGCTTCTGCCAGATGCTGCACAGGGGAGTTAACAGATAATTCCCTACTAATAATTGACGTTGTTGAGATGCAAAATCCTTGGTCGATTTCCACACACACACTGCTCTAATGCTGTAAAGAGAAGATTCGCGTCAGGACTTGGGGAGGCCTGGGAGCTGTGGGTTCACATCGGGGTGTCAGGGGATGTTTGCTGCTCTTTTCATGGCTGAGGATTTCTTGAAGGAGGTGAGAGAGATGACAGAAGGTTCCTCAATGGAAGGCTTGCTTTCAGAAGTTCCCCAAGCAGTGGGTCCCCTCCTTTTGAGAATGGGAACCCCATTTTAACGTCAGCAAACTTCAAAGACTCCCTCATGTTGTAACTCCCTAATATGGCTGCACACACATGTGGAAGACATGCCGACAAAAAGCTACTGCGACTTTGCGTTTGATAAGTCGGACATCCTGCATTGGGTGTACAACATTGATTCAGCCCCGTCTCCCTGAGGCACGTGGCATACTTTGTGGGTTATAGATAAAGGTCAAAATGGCCAACTTTGGTGCATGTCTGGACTTGCGGTAGCTCTGGGGCTCCCCTCGAGTCCTCAGCTCACAGGCTGGGCACCATTTTTCAAGGGGAAAGGAGTTTTTAGTGTGGACGTTGTCAGAGCTTACTTGTTTGGTTTCAGCCAACAAAATGTTTTACTAGAGCTGCTAACGAGTACTAAAACAGATTGGAGTTTCATCTTTTTCTTGGGACTCACCTTTTTGAGGTGCTAATTGGCAGTGTCCAAATCACAGGAAATTTGGAGGAAAGAAAAGAATGTTAGACCATCTCGTTGGCGCTTTATAAAATACGGTAACTGAATTATCCCATCTTTGTTACCAGGCTTTAAAACAGAGAGAAGCCATCCTGAAGCTGATTTTGAAGAATGAAAATGTAAGTAGAGAACTGTTCCCTTTTTTCGAATGGGCCGCTGTAGGATTTTATTTGCAGAGGGCTCAGGCCTTCGTGACTGTTCTCTTGAAGGCAGCTGGGGCGGGGGGGGGGGGGGGGGGGGGGCTGTGTACAGAAACACCAGCCTCCTCTTCATTGAAGGAGCTGGTTTTGATGGCTGGATAGATTGCCACCCAGAATCTGAAAGGGTTGAGGATCAAGCTGCAGGTTTCTTTCCTTTGAACCCCACGAGGTCCTCGGAAGCCTCGAGAGGCTGGTGGCTGGGAAGGCCCTGAATGGAAGGCCAACAAGGGCTTCTGTTCTTTGGCTCATGGCTGCGAGTCAGGAAGAGTGGGCAACACCAATGTGTTCCAGCAGAAGCGTCAAAGACCATGGGGCAGAGAGCTCACGTCTTGTCTCTGCCACATCCTGGCTGCACACCCAGGCATGAAGCACTAGCCTTCTCATCCCCACCCCCACCAGCTCTGTAATAGTCCAGTTACCGAGGACCTCCTGGCCATCCTACCCCAGTGACATCATGGCTTGGATGACACCCCCAGGGTAAGTGTTGCTCTAGATGAAGCTGCTTCAGGACCGAAGGAGAGGTGATGGTGCCATGGTACGAGCAGGGGACGTGGAATCAGGACGACTCAGGTTCAGATTCAGCTCTTAACAGTGTGTGATCCTGGGCAAGTCCTTTCCATCTCGGGGCCCTCATTCCCCTCTGAAACGGGATAATAATACCATCACTGAGAGTGATGGGGATCATGCTCTGGGGCGCTTGGAGGGCTTGTCAAGGCTTTGGCAGGAAGAGTGATTTAGATACCATTAGGGAAGGGCTCACCTTCTGTGAATCTGAGGATTTCTTCCTGATGGCATCATGTTGATGGATTATGTCCATGTCCTTCAGTAAGGAACTTAATGGAGATGAAAGCTACGGTGTTCCCCGTGGACAGAAATCTGCTGGTGCCCAAATTGGCCGACCTTTGTATTTTAAGGTACGTGAGGCCCTCTCTGGCCACTGCTGGCATTGGGCAGAATGGAGGATGGATGTAGCTGACCCCACGTGGCTACTGTCAGCTCCGGTGAAAGCCCTGCCCACTGTGTTCTCCTGTCTACCTTTTCTGATGCGAGATGCTGTCTGGAAATCCTCGGCATGATTCCATTTGTAGAGGGCCCGAGAGAATCCCAGTCGTCTCTTGGTTTTGACATATACAAGTACAAGGGATAAGCTTACAGCTTCACAGTATGAGACAGTCACACCCTCTGCATGATGGTTTACCACGGGTCGTGTCTTCTCACTGCTGACTAATGAGCCAAGGCACATCACAGCCTCAGAGTACTGGGCCTAATTGTTACAGGAGCCTGAAGGCTCCAGCCCATCCCTTCAGATAAGGGATGAGAGAGAAATCTCCCAGTTATGTGATGCTTTGCACACTCTGTCCGGATGTGGGGTGTGAGCTGACTGCCAGATTTTGTGTGTATTTCTTGTCCAAGAGAAGAATCAGCTTTGTGTGATGATGTTTTCTGTCGCTGATTCTTCACTGCTGGATATCTGATGGGGAGATAAAGCAGCCTGTCAGCCAAAGTGCTGCTGTTTAACTATTGTTCTTCAAACACAGTTTTAAGAGCAAACTTTGGGGGGGGGGGGGGGCGGAAGCCTGACATCTTTTTCCTTTTCGAAGTTTTAAACCAAAGCTACAGCCTGAAGTTTCTGCCTGGCTCACCTTTGAACTGTGATTGTAAAGTAAAGACACCGTTTTATTCAAACAGATCTATCAGAATAGCTCCATCCAAATACATGCTTTTCTGTAGAGAAAAAACCTCGGGAGGCTCTATCCTTATTCCAGGAGTGTCGCCCATGGCCAGTGCATGGGCCATTTCTGGAATTCCGGAGGTGCCGTCAGAACCAGTTTACAAGCAATTGATGAGCTTGATCATTAATCAGCCGGAGTTTTCCCTGTTACGTGACTCTGGGTTATGAACAAGCACTTTGATTCGTGGTGGGTGGGCCCCCTGCCCCTCCCTTGTCTGCCAGAGTCTCCTCCAGGCCAAGGTCGTCTCCTCCTTCTGTGTGCTTATGCTGTCATACCCAGGGCTTGGGGGAGAGGGGGGAGGACGACCCCGTCAAGGCCAGGCAGAGAGGGGCGAGGGAACAAAATGGCACCGGGTGTGTCCCAGCTCTCACATCAGGCATGGTCTCACAGGTGCTGATTGCCCCTCAGCCCTGCCTGTCTCCCAGTGTGACTTTTGCCAGCTGCTTCTGAGTTCATTCTAGCCGTCACTCGACTGTGTCTCTTTGCTGATGTGATGAAGATACTGGAGGGCTGCCCAGTCATCCCACACCCTCATTGTGTGACCAGCCCACCAAATTGTCCTGTCCTGCATTTCTTCGATGACATCTTTAACTTTGGTTCTTCTCACCACAGATTGCAGCCTGCCTCCCCATGGACCTCTCCATCGCCCTGTTGTATAAATTCATTATGAATTCTACAGATTGTTGCATTAATATTTTGCTATTTCCTTGGGAGGCTTGAGGTCATTAAAAGAGCTTTGGAATTTCCTGGTCTAGCCTGCCCTCCCCCTGTCCAGCTTGGGGTCCAGCCCATGGTCCACCCTCACTGTCACACACAAGCTTCTCACATGGGTTTCATCCACTCGGTGTTTCCCTTGTGGATGGTTAGGCCAGGCTCTTTTGGTGCTTCTAGGTCTCTCACAGGGAGTTTTGCACTGCTCTGGCACTTGGTGCAGCCGACACGATGTTACCTGCTGATGAGACCGTTGGGAGGAATCTGTCCTCCACCTGGATCCTGGCCTGGATCACCGCCCTGGACCCGTAGATGTCGCTTCTCAATGCCTCACTCGGTGTCTGATCAGAGGCTGCTGAATGTGGTCTCTGGGTCTCTGACCTGTTCACTGTGTGCGCCCCTTGCTTTCTCCCAAAGACCAGAAAGGACGATTCTGCCTTTGGAAAATGGCGTCCAAGAAGGAAGGCTGCAGCCCCTGACCTACGGGCTGCAGGGATATGTTGGGATTGAGGTTTGTAAGTCGTGGATCAGAATGGGAGTTGGCCTTCCCCAACTCCAGCCGAGTGCCAGAGACAGCAGCAGCTCCGCTCTCAGCAAGAGAAGGCCCCATTAGTCATCTGGTCCAGTGCCCTCATCTGGTAGACAAGGAGACCACGACGGGCCTGGGCCTGGGGGCCCCTTCCGTGATGGCCTGCTGCCCCTCAGCGCACACTGGGTTCTGTCTTCTGCTCTTTGCCATCTGCCTGAATGATGAAGTGGTCCGCACTCTCAGGCTGCAGTCTTGGGGTGTCAGCCTTTGGTGCGGCTCAGTGGCTGGCCTGCCGAGCCCGCCTTTCCTCTGTGTAATTCTCCATGTAGCAGGGTGACTTCTCCCCCTGTACCCTATCCCTCATCAGAACTCTCTGGCCTTAGTTTCAGAATGCAGACTCTGGCTCTTGGAGTGATGTAATTTATAGTAGTCTGTGACAGGGTCCTGGGGTACTGATGTTTTAAACAAGGTGTTCATTAACTGAAACACAGCTTTGACTGGTGGAATATGGGGGAGGCAGGGAAATTGTGCCTCCCTGCCCTGCCCTCAGGTTTCCCCAGAGCAGAATGGGGATGGGGTGGCCTGGGCTTTGGAGCTGCCTTTCCTCTTGGACTTGGTTCTCCAGAGGTAGAAAAGCTTATCGCCCCCTGTCTGTGCAGTGAGGCAGTGGGGCAGGGCAGTAGATAGAGAACAGCTAGACCTGGCATCAGAAGGACCCACGTTCAAATCCTGCCTCAGGCGTTTGATAGCTTTGGGACCCTGGGCAGGTCACTTAACCTTTGTCTGCCTCAGTTTCCTCATTTATAAAATGGGAGTGATAATAGCACCTGCCTCACCTCCAGGACTGTTGTGAGATCACACGAAATACTCTTTGTAAAATGCTTTACAGACCTCAGAGCTCTGCATAAACGCTGGCTGCAGCTGTCATGATTATTACCAAGGCCAAGAGAATAATGAAGCTTTCAGATATTGAAGTAACCTTTACCTTCTGACCAGGAAACATCCCATCTCCTAGACTTCCTTCTTCCTCCATTAGAACAGTTTACATTGGCATCATTTCTGACCCCGGGGGGCTGCAGAGGGAGGGCGTTTTTGGTCACATCACTCTTGAAGGTTGTCTAGCAAACCCCAGATGGGTGGCAGCTTGCCTTGGGGGAGGGCTGTGCCTACAGCAGTGACCTCTGGGTGATGTCAGAGCCAATCCCAATTCATCCCAAATCCGGCTTCTGAACTGGACTAGAGAAGAGGCGCTGACCCCGTGACCGCATCAGCAGCAAACAGCCAAGTGGGAGGAGAGGCCCAGCTGGCCTTGTTACAGGGGCTGCAGTCTTGATGCGGACGGTGGGGCCTCAGGCGCGCTGGGTACCTGAGTGCCTGCCACACCCCGCCGCTTCTCAGAGCTGGGTTTGTTTACGACGCTTGGGAAGGTTCTCTTCATCCATGGGCTGAGTCGTTCCTGCAAACAGCAAACCTGTAAAACAGGAGCAGTCGTGTTCCTCCCCACTGGCATCCTGTTTATTTATTGGCATTTTTACCCTGGTTCAGGTGGACAGGCGCGTGGACCTGCTAGAAGTCGCCAAAGAAACCGATGGGTTCTCAGGAAGTGATTTGAAAGAAATGTGTCGGGACGCTGCCCTCCTGTGTGTCCGGGAATATGTGAATTCTGCTTCAGAAGAAAGGTATGTTTGCAGGCGTCTAGCGGCCCGGCACTGGGCAGCGGCAGCTTGCTCACTGTGTATGTAATGGGGCTCTTCTGTTGAGCAAAAGACATGCCATCACCCCATCACCCTGGGGAGCTGGTATGTATGGCCGCGGAGCTGCTTCTGCTGCCAGGTGCCCAGGCTAACTTAAGAGAGTGAAGGGGTGACGCTAGGCTGAACTTTGGTACCATGAGCCAGGTAATCACAGGACCGAGGAGTGACCAGATGGGAGTCGGGCCCTGAGGATAGATAGTTTAAGCCAGCACAGCAGGGCAATGAAGCACTGGACCTTCCGTGCCAGGGAATCGGAGCCGGGCGTTCTGTCTGATGGCCAGGGTGCTGACCGGCACTGATTCTCTGAGCTTTGTGAAGCCTGAGGCTGAGGTCACTTCTGTTAGCAGCTCCTGTTATGGGGTTTTAAAGAGCGAAGGGTGGGAGCAGGCTTCTAGACCTCCTCTCAATGAGTCTTCTGTTGTGATTGACCTAAAGGCTGTTTTTGTTTTGTTTTTTTAACAAAATGATTGGGCACTCCTCAGAAGAGCGAAGATGGTCAAAGCTGACCCTTCTGTGCTCGCAGCCCACAGGAGAATGAGCCTGTCCCACCTAGGCCCCTTCACCATCCGTCAGCATCCTCCCACCACTCTCCATGAGGTTTCAAGCCTTGGGGTGTGGGGCACGTCAGCACAGTAGCAGGCTCAATGTGACTATGAGCTTGTGCAGAGCTTATCGGGGCAATTCCCCGGGCTTGGCCCTAGTGAGCTGCCTGTTCCTGGCCTGCTGGTGGAGTCCAGCCCCGTGTGCAAGCCCTTCCAAGGAGAATTTCTGGGGTGCGGTAGGCTTATTGTGGTCCCTGCAGGAAGGCTGCCAGAGTGACTTGCGGTGTCTGGGGCTCATTCCAGCTGATCCCGATTTGCTGACCGTGTGCAGTCACTAAACTTGCTTCCTGCTCTCCCAAAGCTCAGAATGTTCAGGAAAGCCGCCCACTGCTCCCAGCGGCAGTTTAGCCCATGCCAGCTTGGGCACCAGTGGCCTAACCACTGAGGAAGCCAGGAGGGGAGGCATTAGCACCATTTATTTCTTGCCGGATTAATGGAGTAATTGTGCTGAGTAGCTGAATCCTTAGCAGCTGTGGTGTGGTCTTCGTGTCTCTGTAACTCATATCCTAGGGGAACCTTGATATTGTGTGAGGTTGCACTTTTCTCAGAATTAAATAATGAACAAGAGAAACCCTTGTACTCTAAGCAATAGCATTAATTACTCATTGAGATTTGTCCTTGGTTAAACTAGAAAAGGAAGAAGAAAACCACCACAAACAATGTGTATTGAAATCCATACCCAGAATTCTAGGTTCTTTTCAGTTTAATCAGCATGTTTTAAAATTCAGGCAGTTCTTCATGGGAACAATGTTTTTGACTTGTCAGTTGGAATTTTATTTCCATTTGGGTGAATTAACTTTCTAACGTTGTGGTGGGGAAGACTAGTCGTATGGGAGTAAAGTGGGTGGCCTCAGTTGGGTCTTCTGCACCCCAGAAGCTCTTAGCCCAGGGTGTGTGGGGGCATCTCCTTGGTAGCACCCATAAACCACAGCCTGAATGTTTTGGGTTTTTGTTTGGATTTTAGCCGTGATGAAGATGAAATTCGGCCAGTGCAACAGCAGGACCTGCATCGAGCGATCGAGAAGATGAAGAAATCAAAGGATGCCGCTTTTCAGAATGTTCTAACCCACGTTTGTTTAGATTAAGAGTAAAGTCCCTTGTTTGTATGGTTCACGCGGCGTGTCCCCTTGTCACTGAGCGGGGGGAAGAGGGGAGGAGGAGTGGGCTTGGGGCAGCAGGAGGTGATGATTGCCCTGTGGCCTTGGGCTTAGTGAACAGAGGTAGGTGGGTGAATGAGGGGACCTCTGCCCAAGATCCCCTGAGAGGGAGGGGTGCTTGTCTTGGGCCCCTCCAGCTCCCAGTGGTAGCCTCTTGGGTCATTGGAAAGGAAGGGGACAGATTAAGTGCTTGTGCCTGTATATAGGTATGAGTGTGTGAGTGTGTGTGTGTGTGTGTGTGTGTGTGTGTGCGCGCGCACATTTTATATTGACTTTCTTTTGGAGAGGTTTGAATACAGAACCTTTTTTTTTTAAAATCCAGCCACTGATTCAAATGGCACCAAATTCTGTAGAGAGGAGTGAGGTTTCGAGGTGGGTCTTCAGGGCGCCCCCCATCCGTTGTTTTCCAGTTCAGTTTCTCCATGGTTTTAGCTGTTGTTGCTTGAGCAGAGAGAAGTTGGGTGAAAGGACTCACAACCTGACCAGCCCATGTGGCCAGATGTGACCCCGGGATGCACTGTCAGGATGGCCAGATGTAACCCATTGCCCTGCGACCTGCGGGCAGAACCGCTGCGTCCACGTGGCCCTCTGAGCTCCGTGATGGGGAGATCACTTTGAGTCTCAGCTTCACATAAACGCGGGGGTCAGCCAGGTTTCTCCCACATGAGCTTGTTAGAAATCTTCAGTGCCATTTAACACAAATCTCCCATTAAAGTGCAGTTCTTCGGACACTTTTTCATTCAGTGCAGCATTTTTCCATTGCAAAACAATGAATTTTTTTAATGGTTTCAAGTTATGTTTTCTTTGATTATGGGCAAATACAACTTACTGAATTTAAAGGGCTTTGCATAAGTCTAAAATAGGGAGAAATGTAAAATTACAGGATGTTAAATATTATGCTGAAAGATTTCCTTTTGTAACTTTAATTTTTTTTCAGTATTCTTAGAGCATTGTTATAAATTGTGCATTTGGGCAAGTGTGGACACACTTAGGAAGATTTCCAAATATCTCTGGAGTCTGCTTTGATCTTAAGTGGATTATTTCTATAGCAAACTCTCTGTTCTCCAGAGTTCTGTTAGGCCCAGTGTTTTTAGCTTCTCTTCATGCATTGACAATTACTGCGAGCATTCGACCCTAATTATGGCATTGCCCAGCCCTGAAGCACCTTCCCAAATATCCAAGAGTAAATGTGTGGGGTCTTGAGGTTTGTGTGGAGAAAATGATGGAGAGCAAAGCCAGTTCTAAAGAGTTAGTTATGAACATGCGATGGATAATCCATCACGTGACACTAGACACCAAAAATAAGGCGTTTCATCTCAAGTTGATGAGCACTGTGCTACACTCTAATTTTGTAAATGTGTAATAAAGGGGTCCCTGATCACTGAGACTTTCTCCACCCACTGTGTGGTCTCTTGTATTAGTTCTTCAGAAGCTGTCGCAGGCGGTCACTTTGAGCCTGGGGCGTCGAGGGTTCAAACCTGTAGCCTGGAGGATACGGCCTTAGAACCTTCTCCCATAGTGCAGGATTCGAATAAGCCACTTGGGCATAAATCCTGTCCCAAAGGGGAGCAGCTTCTGCACTGAGCCCCATGGTCATCTTGATTCCCTTTGAGCAGACAGGCCAGGGGCCTGGCAGACATCCACACTCCTTGTTAATGGGGGGCTTCTGGACCACTGCACATGTGGTACATGCTCTGGGTCTTCCTGAGGGAGACAGCTCAGGAGGATCCTGCACATTTTGCAGTTGCCTCACAAGGTCAGGGATGGGCTTCTGTGTTATCTGTGTTATCTGTTCCAGAGAGGTCGGGTCCAGAGTCACCCAAAGCCTGACTGTCCAGAGACCCCTCACTTAACTCTGAAACTTGAATACCCCAGCCCTGAATGGCCCCCAAAGCCCCCGAGGGCGTGTGCCCCCCAGGGCTGGCCCTGAAGGAAGATGCTGAGCTCAGGGTGTGCCTCGGTGAAGGGCGTGGCGGGCCCTTCCTGGAACAGTGCTGTGGGGGGCTGGCTGCGGTGGAGGCTGGCTGGCCACTCTCCGGGCTGACCACTGGGCTTCTTGTTCTTCGATGGTGCAAGTCACATGCCCATCACCCTTGTTTTTCAGCTGCTCTTAAGAAACACTAAATAGATGGACTTGAGGAATGGAGAGATGGCCATCTTGAAGTGGGGAAGACCTGGGTTCTAATCCTGCCTTAGATCCACCATAGCCAAGTGGTCATGGCCCAGTAACTTAACCCCTCGGTGCCCCAGGCCACTCCGTGTCTGCATCAGTAGACAGAGCTTCCATTCCCGAATGACCTTCCAGCCTAGACCCAAGCAGAATGTTCACATGCTGGTTATGTTTGGATCCGTGCCTGAGAGACTATCCTACTGCCACCGAGGCTCTGCTGTCAGAGCTAAAGAATTTTAGGGTTGGGGGTTCCAGACTATTGGGTCCAACCCCTTCATTTTACAGGTGAAGAAAAGTGGCCATAGCAACAAGAGCAGCCGTTAGGTTCAGAAGGCCCGCTCCTCGGCCTCTGTTTGCTCGGCTGTAAAGGGAAGGGATTGGACTCGGTGATGTATAAGGCCCCACAGCCCTCACGCGTATACACTCGAGGCCTTGGCCGTGGTGTTGCAGAGAGCTAATGGCACGAAGGCGCAGGGAGAAATGGGACCCACCCAGACCTTCTCTGGTGGCTTGAGGGGCAGGCCGAGCAACACCCAGATGGCCTGAAGTCGGCAATCTGGCGGGTTTTTAACTTTTAACCCCCACCTTGGCCATCAAAGCAGGAGAGCCTGGTGGGCCAAGTGCTGTGTGGACATGAGGACACGAGGCCTTCGCTGACCCTCTGTTCAGGCATTTATGAGCCCCTGCTATGTGACGGGCACTGTGCCACCTCCGGGACCATCTGCCCAGTGGTTGGAGAGGAGCTTGGGTCTGCGAGTGTGCGAGCATGTGAGCCAGCCCGTCCCCTGCATCTGCCCGACACCACAGCTCTTGGCCTCGCGTTTGGGGCCTTCTCCTTTGGGTCAGAAATTGATGCTTCAGGGCTGGAGCCCCCACTTCTCTCTTTGAAATCAAACGGCTTCCTTCGTGCAGGTGAAGCCTGGGATTTGGCCGAGGACCCGCTCCAGGCTCAGCTGCTCCTCCTTCCTCAGCAGCCTCTGGAGAGCCAGGTGAGGGGTCTGGGCGGCCTCCGAGGTGACTTGGGTTCCCTTTTCTGCAGTCCCATAATGCTCCCCCCTCGGCGGCTCTCAGGCACGCTTCCGGCTGAGGCTGCGCCCGACAGAATGGTTTTTACCCCCACTCACGATGGGGAGTTTGTTGGGAGGAGAAGGCTTCACTGCCAGCTTCCTGGACCCTGAAATGTTTACAAATGCCCATAAGGCAAACAGAAACCTTGTCAGTTAAGTTCCATGTGTATTGTACTCAGCACGTTGTTTCTGGTCTGCTTTGTGTCAGAGCCCACTGTTTTAATAGCATCCCCAGGGCCCCACATGACCTGAGTGGGCCCCCCCCTCATAGGAGTCGTCTTCTCAGGATCAGTGCTGGTGGGACGGGGCGAGGCTACAACCTCAGCGTCCTGTCTTCCTCACCCGTCAATGGAGGGGTTTGTGCCACCCAGATGATCTCTGAAATCCTCTGCACAACAGTTTAGTGAATGCCTGGAATTTTGTAAATCTCAGTCAAGAGAGATGTGACTAAGCCAGGCTTGACCTACCAAATTCCCAACAGGAGGTCACACAACCCAAAGTGGGAAGGGAATGGAAAGTGAAAAAGCATTTATTAAACACCTGCTATATGCCAGGCACTGTGCTACATTTGATCCTTACAACCCAGGGAAGTGGGTGCAATTATTATCCCCATTTTACAGTTGAGGAAACTGAGGCAAGCAGCAGTGAAGTGACTTGCCCAGGGTCACACAGCTAGTGAGTGTGTGAGGTTGGGTTTGAACTCAGATCTCTCTCCTTCCAAGGCCAGCACTCAATCTATTGTGTTACTGCATGGAGAAATCCATTTCACTTTTGAACCGCTCTGGTCCTTAGTACATTTTTCCTTACCTCGAGCCTAGATCTGTGCTCTGAAGCTTCCACCCTCCATTGCTCCTGGCTTTGCCCTGTGGGACCCCAGCTTGCCACCCACTGCCCCTGAGTCTTCCCTCATCCGCACCAAACAAGCCTGGTTCTTTTTTTTTTTTTTTTTTGGCTAGGCAGTGGGGTTAAGTGACTTGCCCAGGGTCACACAGCTCATGAGTGTTATGTGTCTGAGGCAGAATGTGCACTCAGCTCCTCCTGAATCCAGGACCGGTGCTCTCTCCGCTGCGCCACCTAGCTGCCCCACAAGCCCAGTTCTTGATGCCCATCTACGTATAGCAGGAAGTCCCTTCTTCCTGGCTACCTTTCCTCTGGGCTCTCTGGAACATCCTCCCAAACTGAGGTGGGCTCTGAGAAGGGAACAGGACATTCCACGTATGGTCTGACCTCGGTGGAGTGCAGTAGTGTCTGCCATCCCCCTCATCGTTTGTGGTCCTGTAGCTGCCATCCTCCCTAGACTCAGTGACCTTGTCATCCACTTACACTGCTAGAGTTTTTCCAGCCAAATCGCTTCCTAGCCACAACGCCTCTGTCTTGTCATTAGGAAGATGTTGGTTTAAACCCAAACATTGGATTACATTTATTCTATCTGTGCTTTGGTCCAGGTTCTTGATGAAAGTACCATGGCGGGTCAAGGGCAGATCCCAAGGGCGTTCCACTCTAGACTGCTCCTGAAATGTGGCGTCAGGCTCCTTATGGTGACTCCTGAGGTCCTCCCATTTAATCAGCTACCCATCCACCCAACCTTTCTACTCTTTCACTCACATGTCTCTGTGTTTGTCAAATACTTGGCTGAAGTCCAGGTAGGCAAGCTGTTTGTTATCTGTGGCATTCCCCAGATCTACCCATTTGCCAACTCTTCCAGAAAAAGAAGTGTAGTGAATTAGGCTTGACCTATGTTTTGTTTTTTTCCCAGTCCAAGTAGTGAATTTTTTAAGACGCTGGTTGGGTGGGTGAGATCTCTGGTGAGTCTGCGGTATTTGTGATGCCAGTACAAGCAGCCAGATTCTTCAGGAATCTGCACCTTGACCATGCTGACTCACTGCTTCCCTAGTTCTTGGCTCTTGAACCCTCCATGGTTGTCCTACATTTCAGGGCTTTCAGGCAGAGGTTCTTAACCTGCAGTCTGGGAAATTGTTTTGAAAACCATTTGGTGAACTGTCCTTCCATGTAATTGGGTTCTTTTGTCATCCATGCATTTTATCTTAGGCATTCCAAAGGGGTCTAGAGATTTCACCAGAGATGGCCAGACGGGTCCAGCAGAGGTGCTCAAGAGCATGTCATCTCCCAGAAGTGTTCCTTCAGCACATACCACAACCCCTCAATTAAGTCAAATTGTTGATAAGCATTTATTAAGCACCTGCTGGATGCCATACCCCGTGGGAATACCAAGAAAAGAAATGTTTCTAAAATTTAGTTCATGATCTTAAAGAAGGCCCTTCCAATTCCTGAATTTCTGTGATAAAATCTCCTTTGGGCCTTGGGGTCAAATTCCTGTGCCAAAGTTTCCAGCTAATCGGCATATGTGGCTTATCAAGATTAGGCTCTTCCAAGTCCTTTCAAAAGTCAAGCTTGAAATTCAACTCTCTGCAGCTGTGTAGTCCTCATCCATTTAGTGCACACTGCTTACCTGTTATATTCACTGTTTGGTGTGCTTTCCACAGGGAAACACAAGCCAGGTCAAGATGAGGTCGAGCTCTTTAAATGGAAGCGAATCGACTGGCACCATCTTGTTGGGGATGGACCAGGCAGCCCTGAGACCCCTTCCCATTCAGACCGGTGGCTCACTGCTCCCAGGCAAAGGAACCGCCTGGACCTCCCAGAAGGGTTGACCCAGCTGCCCTGAAGCTGCTGTGTTTTCTCCATAATTAAAGCTCAGGTCTGCCGACAGTGACTCAGATCTCTTTGATGTGCGTGAACATGCCTCCCCACATGTTCTACCACATGTGTTGCTCGTAGACTCCCTAGCCCCGGGAGGTCGGGCCATCAGCAGAAGTGTTGAAGTCCTTGGCTGTCCCTGAACTCTGTCCCAAGGTGGGTTCCTCTGCCTTCGGCCAAGGGATGGCTATCAAGGCTCCAGCTTTTGTGGCCATCTGTCTAAAGTGCGGAATGTGTACTGACATCAAATAGAAATACTCAGAGCTTCTGATAGCGCCATTCTTGGTCAGCTCGAGGAGCTCCAGGGCAGGCCTCTACCCCTTCCCCTCTCCGCAGCCTCCCCAGCTCCCTTGAAGGAACAACTCTCAGTTTAGTGACGGAGATTCATGACGCATGAGTATTCCCCACTCTTCACTCCCTCCTCCCTCCACTCAGGTGCTGGGTCTTATTGACTCTAACTGCGGGTCTCGCTTATCCTTCATGCGTCTTCGCCACCGCCCTCTTTCAGGTGCTCATCCCCTCTCCTGAAGTCTCACTTCTCACTGGTCCATCCTTGCCATTCCTGCCAAAGCAGCATCCCTAGAGCTCCGGCCTGACCACGTCACACCCTGTTCAAGAAGATCCAGTGGTTCCCTATGCCTCTAGGAGAGGGGTCTTAACCGTTTTTGTGGAATGGGTCCTTCTGGCAGCCTGGACCTTATCTCAAAATCGTGTTTATAAGTGTAAAAAAAAATACATAGGATTATAAAGGCAGCCAGTTATAGTGAAATCAATTAGCAAAGTAATTATTTTTGTAATGTTCCCAGACCCCAGATGAAGAACCCCTGTTCTCGGTTAAAATATAGACTCTTTTCTTTGGCGCTAAAGCCTTTTCTGGTCTGGCTTCAGCCTCTCATTCCAGGCTGTGGAATGAGGCTCCTTTACAGGCTGTGTTCTAGGCTTATTGGCAAGGAGGCCGCTGTGTCAGGTTTTTGCCGGGCTCTCCCTCCTGCTTGGAACATATTCCCTCTTTGGGGCCCTCCCCCTCTTCTGTCATCCCCTTGGAATGCCTAGCATCTTTGAAATGTCTAGCTCATCACCATATCCTGCATGAGGCCCATCCCCATCCCAGAAGCTTGTGTCCTCCCTAGATTGAAAAGTACTTTGTAGGTGGGTTTTGTGGGGGTGTGGGTTCTCCCTTAATGGAACTGGAAGCTCTGAGTGCAGACATTTCATGTTTTTGTATCCCCAGCATCTGCTCCCGTCAGAGGCTTGACTCTTTGTAAAATGTGGGTGTTTGCCCCTGGCTTCCTGTACACAGGAGCATGGGCTGCTAGGGAGTGGGCCCTGTTTGTCCAGATCAGAGGAGCTGGGCTTGAATCCTGTCTCACTCAGTCATTGACCGCCTGGGTGACCTCAGGGCCTGCACCTGTAAAGTGAGCTGGATCTTCATGACCTCCCAGGATCCTTTCTGTCCACGAAATCTCCATTCAGAGATCCTGCTCTAACAGCCAAGTTCTCTCTGCCAGCCGTCCACCCCACTGTGGCCTTCCCAGCTCTTCTGGCTTGTGGGAATGGGAGGTGGAGGGAAGAAGGAGAATTTACTGGGCTTTCAGCAGAGTTGCCCTGGCTGCCACAAGCCTGTGGATCAGGCTTTCCACTCTTAGTCCCACATGGTGAGAACAGTTAATTAGAGGGTGACACACTTTCTGACACCAACTAGGGAAAGCCCGTTCAGCGGGAAGTCAGGTGGCTTCCTGGCTCCCTCTTGTGACCAGGAGCTCTGGGTCAGTGATTATGCCCTGCACTCACACAGAGCTGGGCCTTGTGGGCTTCTCTCTGGGCTTATCCGGGGCCTGCGGTCCTCCCAAGCCACAAGGTGCTCAAGCTGCTAGAGGAGTTTACCTCTCCCCTCCAGGATGGGGTCTTCTCGGTGCAAAACAGCTTGCCAAGGTCATAGTGTCTAGAGAATCTCAGCAGTATTTCTGCATATGAAGTGAATTATTAATATAGGCTATTAAGGTGATTAATTTAAGCTGAGCTCAGCAGAACTTTACCACGGTGTTATCTCTGGGACGGGTTGGCTAAATTAATGGGGTGGAAAGCCCGATTTGGGGTGGGGGGTGTTTAATCTACTGAAAAGAGCCCTAAGGAGTTTAGCAGATTTGTTTACTTGTATGCAAATGGTGCTAGACAGTTAATTACTTGAGGTTTCTTCTTCCCAGCCACAAGCCCACACCCCTACTCAGTCCCGCATCACCTGGGGAACCTGGGAGCTTTTAAGTAACCAAGGCTTTTGACTACTCCTCCCTCCTGGCCCTTCCCATGAGTCAAGTTTAACCCCATTATGATAAATGTGACAATAAAAGCTCCCCCTGCTCTCATTTAATTTCTACATATCCTGAATTAGACGGGAGAGTGGAGGCGGGGGAAGACGCCTAACAGGAAGGTAGACTTGAAAAAAGGTGACGGGAAAACCGATGGATGCCCTCCTGTTAGGTTGGGCTGGGATCCTGGCTGTTGTTAGGGGGCCGTGCCTCCTTGGGAAGCCCAGACCCATCAAGTGACCTGCCTAGAGCCACCCAGCTCATAAATGTGTGGGTAGGATTCGAAACAGCATCTTCCTAATGACGTGTCTACTCCCCTATCCAGGTTGCCACAGTGCTTCTCACTGGAGGTGTCAGGACAACCGGAGGAAGGCCCTCAGCACGTTGGGTGGACGTCCAGCAAAGATTTATGGGAAGATGCAGGAGGGGCATCAGTCTGCCTTGTGGAAAGGAGTTGAAATCAGTGTTTGAGAATGGGAAGAGATCTCGGGGGCCATTCACTGGAAACCACACCCAACAGGAATTAAAAAAGGAACCAATCCTTCGTCCTTGCAGGGATGGAAGCAGCCCCGTCCCCTTGTCCACCCAGAAAGGCAGCTGCACAGGTCGGGATGGAGAGCCCCGCTCTGCTCTTCACATCCGGTGCAGCTCGGGAGAGGCTCCCCACTCTGGGGCTCAGTTTCCCCAATGTTCCTCCCAGCTCTCAACGCGGTGCTTCCATGGTATTTGATCAGCTGCCGCCCACTCCTGAGCGTCCACCCCAAACCCCCTGTGCGCTGGGTGACCGCGCACACATGAGGCCAGTGTCGGCATTTTCCCCATCCAGGCCCTGGCCCTTTGCTTTGTGCTTCGAGACCTGGTGCTTTGCAGAATAGAAGGTGTATCTGTGGGAGCAAGGCTGAGCGTGGGGAGAAGGTTGCCTCTGCTGGGGGGGAGAGGACCCAGGACCAGGGGGGCAGGACTGCACGTGGTCCTCTGAGAGGGAGGGAAGGAGGGAGGAGGGGACCACAGGCAGCTGAGGAATGGAAGCTGCCCATGCGTCTGTTTGGGTGGCAAGATGGCAGAAACCAAGGTCCTCATTTTTAAGGAGCAAGGGGTAGCCAGGGCTGGAGGTTCTAATCTTGCCTCTGGCACTTGGCATTCTGAAGCAGTCTCTCTTTTAATGAAGAGAAAGGGGGCATGTGTGCGAGATGTTGGGAAGACAGAAACAGCAGGATGTGGCAGCTGATTTACACGTGGTGATTTGAGGCTCACGCAGAGGCTGGGAATGAAGAAGGACGGTGGCACCTTCTTCAGTAAATGGGGGAAAAACTAGAAATCAAGGGGATGTTTTTTGGTTGATAGAACAAAAATATGCAAAACAATTTCCCTCATCTTCTTGTCTGGCTCAGTACAGAGGCATGACTTTATGCAGTGTGCTCTAATGCTAAAGGGAAGTCTGGGATGTGTGCCATCTTGGATAGCTGTCCACTAAAGCAGTAGCAGAAGCCTGCCATCCCAAGAGCCTTCTCCCTGAAGGGTTCAACATTCCACAAAGAAGCATAAATTTTAAAAAGCAGACATTGCGCTTGGACTAGCCACAGATAAAACATAAGGTTCCATTACAGGATGTTTATTAAAATATGAAAAGGCAATCGTTTGCACATAGAAATATTCATTTGCATTGAGTATTGCAAGAGCAGCTTAACACCTACTTCTGAACATCTTCTAAGCCATGAGCTACTTTAGCTAAGGCACTCAACCCATTCTCATGTTTTTAATAAATATGCTACCAAAAAAAAAAAAAAGCAAGCAAGCGGCTTTTTCTAGAGAGACGAATCATGTGGTATTAAAGAAAGACCAGGCCAGCCAGGCTTTGCTATGTTTGCAATGAGGCACATAATGGTGAGAATTTTAATAGGCAAAAGGCTAAAATTTTTAAAAGAAACACTAAAAATGGGAGAAGTCTCGATATTCCCTTTCTTGCCCCCATCTCTGCTAAAGAGACGGAGTCCATTAAAAAGTGCTGCTTTCCTTAACAGCAGCAAAGGAATGAATTCCTGCTCTCTGAGCCAAAAGGATGCTTTAGTTTCCATGAAACATGGACTTCCTGGAATGGACATCATGAGATGAGCAGGACATATAGGGTACATGCAAACGGGTCCCTCTGAAGAAAGTGGACCTCCTGCCCCTGTGACCTTGGACTTCTTCCCCTGTGACCTTGGACTCCTGCCCTCTGGGGGCCTGCTGCCTGACTGTTCCCATTGGCCCAGGGGGCAGGGAGGAGGGTGGGGAGGCTAACCTACTGGTGAAGGCTGTATTGTGGGGGTAGCAGGGGTTCACTTTGGCCAGGCCTCCTTTGCCACAGAGTTGTAACCTTGCACGACGTGTGGAAACTGTTGGACTGGGAGTCCAGAAGATGTTGTTCTAGCCAGAGCTTTCCCACTTATCAGCTGTGTGACCCTGGACAGGTACCTCACCTCTTCCATTCTTCAGCCACACAATGAGGGGGTACAGGCTCAGTGCCCTCGGGTTCCTTTCCAGCTAAAATATTCTAGGACCTGATGGCCTCACTCCAGCTCTCATATCACAGAGAAAGAAACTGCAGCCCAGGAAGGAATGCTCAGCCCAAGGCCCCCCAGAACTGGCAGTGCCCAAGACTTTTCATCACACAGGATGGCCTGGAGCCGCCATCTCCACGGGCCTTCCTTCTTAACACAGAGACTTTTCCCCCAATGCTGCAGTAGCGGGCAAGTTTTCATTTGTCTGTGGAAACCCTTCTGTTCTGAGGCAGTTCAGGGAGAGGCACAGCAGGGCAAAGCTCTGTCATTAGGGATTTCTGTGCTGTGACCTTTAAGCAAGTCCCTTCTCCTTTCTGAGCCTCAGTTTCCTTCTCTGTACAAGTAATGGCATGGAAGACCACAACAGAGTTGTCAGATTTGCCAGACTCGCTGCTTACATGTGGTGCGCCTGTCCGGAATAAAATATAGTTGGGAAATATTTAACAAAATAAATAAAAATACAATGCAACCTAGATAATGGTAATTTGTGGTTTTCTAAGCCCATAGGGGGCCACAGGGATCCATTTCCATTTGAGGTTGACCCCACTGCACAGCATGGCCCAGAAGCTGCCTTCCAATATGGCACCTTTGCTCTGACATTCGCCTTCTGACCTTGGGTGAATCCCTTCTCAGGCCTCAGTTTCCTCATCTGTAAAATGAGGGATTTGGATCAGGTGACCTTTAGGCAGCTGAAAGACCTCAGGGCAGTCATAGCTGTTTTCAGGGTCTGATGACCTGTAAGGGCCCCTGTATGCTTTAGTCCTAGAAATGATGGCAGTCACATCTGAGACCAAGATGCATATTAGGGTTGGGGCTGGAGGTTGGGGTTTTCTTTTACCACCAACACACACACACACACACACACACACACACACACACACACACACACACACACACACACTGTGCCCTTTGGTCTCGCTGGCAGCTGGGCTACGGCTCTTCTCCGGGTCAGTGTCACTAGGATGCTCGGCAGAATGCTGCTCATCTAGGCTGGTTCTTGGTTGTGGGCCCTGATCAGCCCCCAGGATAGTGCCTGAGCATCCTGGGGAGGGGGCTCAGCCTTCTCTGGCTCTGGTCCTCAGTGTAACAAAAGAGGAGAGATACAGACAACAGTCTTCTGAACTGGATGAACACAGCCTTCCTGCCTGCTGGGGCCACCCTCGCGGACGCTGTTCTTCCGAGTCTCAGAGTTGATTCCGAATTTAGGCCTACTTTGGGCCTCGTTAGTAAGTGTTCCCTTAAAATCAGGAAGCTACACAATTCCTAAGCTTCTAATCACAAAAGCAGAAAGATGAAGAGCAGAGCACGGGGTGCAGGGAGGAGGGAGCCCCCAGGGGCCCTAGTTACTCTTCTCCAGGGACCTGTAATAGTCCATCAGCACTTTCCAGGCTTTGGGGGCCATGAAGCCATCGGGCGGATTCTCTCCTTCCCGGGCAAGCTTCCTCATCCGTGTTCCCGAGATGAAATCAAACTCATTGTGTCTGAAACAGAATCAATAGAGAGAAGTTGGGCAGGCCAGCAGTCAATTCTGAACTTGGCAGTCCTTGCCCTCAGGGGGCTTACAGTCAGCCAGGGAAATGCTTTTTTTTGGTTTTGTTTTTTGTTTGGCTAGGCAATGGGGTTAAGTGACTTGCCCAGGGTCACACAGCTAGTAAGTGTTACGTGCAGGGCCAGTGCTCTATCCACTGCACCACCCAGCTGCCCCTCACGGAAATGCTTTGTGAGGGCTGAGGAGAAGGCCCCGGTGGAGAAGGGGCCAGAGCGTGGAATTCTGGGTGAGAAAGGGCATTCCATCAACTGAGGAAAGAGAATACAGCGAGTTTAGGGTCAGGGAGTGAGTCAGGAAGGCAGACTGACTAGCCTAGCACAAGGGATTGTAGGATCAGAGAGAGGGGAGAAGACCACAGGGGCCACCTAGTCTGATCCCTCATTTACTGAGAAGTGACTTGTCCAAGGTCACCCAGAAAGTGAGTGACATGCTAGGATTTGAAACCAGGCCCTCTGACTCCAAATCCTGGGCTCTTTCCACTGGACTCTGATGGGAGAGCCATGAAATAAAGCTGGAGAGGTGTAGTGCTTTCTGATTCTGGAGGGCCCTCAGGGCCAGGCAGAGGAACCAGAACTTTGCTTGGGAGGTAATAGGAAGCCACTGGGCATTTCTGGGCAGAGGGAAAGTGCACATCTTCTGGATGTGCAAACAGAAGCAACAGGTGTTAGGGGAAGGTAATTTAGACTGAGAAGGTCTTGGTCAAACACCTCTTCCTCTCTGTAGCTCTTAAAGTCAGGAGGGTGAGTGGGAGGAAGGGGGGGCCCTGCAGAGAATAAGGAGAACCCTGAGGCACTGACATGTTTCTCACATGCTTGTCACCATGATCTCATTTGGGTTTCCTGGTACCCTATGAAAAGGGTGCTTGCCAGTCAATACATGCCCAGCACCAGGCTAAGCGCTGGGGAGACAAGAGAAGGCAGAAGACCATTTGAGGACTGAGGCGTGGAGGGTCAGAGAGGCAAAGCACTCTGCCCAGGGCCTCATTGCTGCCAGAGGAGAGACTAAAAGCCAGTCTCCCTGGCTCCAGCAGACCACCCCCCCCCCCCCCCCCGGCCTCTCCTGTCTGTCTGGTGGAGGACTCAGGCCTCTGTCTGGTGGAGGACTCAGGCCTCTGGAGCAGGCCAGCACTGAGGCCCCTCCCTTCCTTGGCCGCTGGTTCCGGAGCTGGGGACTCACCTTGCCGGGTCATAGAAGGCCATGGCTTTCTGGACCTTGTTGTAGGCAGCCACACGGAAAGGGATAATTTCCACAGACGTGAGGCCAGGAGCCATGCTCAGGACCTTTCCCCCGTGAGTGGGCTCATACAGGTCTTTCTTGGATTCAGGATGGGGCATTCCCGCAGGGTCCCGGCCTACGATGTAGAAATTGGCCCCTGCTATCATTCGGGACCGGCAGTGCCACTGGACCTAGAGAGACAGCCCAGACCAGAGAGGGCGGTTACTTATCCCCCACGGACAGAAAAGACTCCTCCTCATGGGAGGCCAGGCAGCGATCAGGGCTGAAGAAACGCCTCACCTCTGTGGGGCCAGCATAGAGCATTGGCGAGGGGAAGATGGCCACGATGGTGGACTTGGGGTCCAGGACCCCCTCCTCCAGCACGGCCGCGTGTTGCTTCATGCGCCACTGCAAGGGAACATCGTCGTCCTTGGTCCAGCCGCCCAGCGGATGCAGCAAGAGGACAGGATGCTTGTAGCCTCTCTCCAGAAGGCGGCGGCGCGTGTCCTGCATGAGCAGCGCGTGGCCGTTGTGGACAGGATTGCGCAGCTGGAACGCAAACACCGCGTCTGCAAGAGGGCGGTGCGCAAGCCGTGTCAGAGAGCAGCTGGAGGGTCGTGCTCTGCGTGCCAGTCTCAAGATCGGGACCGAGATGGCTTGTTTACAGCTAGCCAGTGAGGACAAATGAAGTCCCCGGGCCCTGAGGACCCAGACACCCATGCCAGCTTTAGACAGCTTCATACAGACGAGGGGGCAGGAGGCGGCGGACAGAGCCAGCCGCGAGACCAAAACCAACCCACACGCAGGCAGAGGCAGCACCACCCAGAGAGCCACACCGCCTGGCTCGGGGGCCACACGCTTCTCCAAAGGGCAGAGGGAGGCCGAGAGCCCAGACAGGGGCCGCCTCTGGAACCCCCCAACCCCACACCCCTGAGGGCTTCCCTCCTGAGGACCGAGGAGGGAGTGAGGCAGACCTAACGGGGGGCGGGAGGCGGGGGGCGGGCCTGACCACAGCGGAGGGACACAACGAACCTGCGTTCATTTCTTTAAATCGCTGCTTGAGCTCCAAGGGCGTGAGGCGGTACTGGTCCAGGCCATCATTCCACCGGACCCTCTCCAGGACCAGGAGGTCTCCACCAACCAGCCAGTCTCCACTTCCCATCACCATCTTCAAAGGAAATCAGGCATTTGAATGCAGTACAAGCCAGGCAGGGAACATTTGTTAAGCACCTACTGCCGACGCCAGGGAATGTCCGAGGCTGCTCTCAGGGAGCTCACAGTCTAAGAGACAACGCACACCTCCCCACAGACAAGATGTATGCAGGAGAGTGAAGCGCCAGCCTCCAAGGGGATCTGGCTTCCTGCAGAGGGGGTGCCTTGCAGGAGACCAGGGAAGCCAGGGAGTGGGGATGAGGAGGGAGAGGGCTCCAGGCCCTGCGGGCCCTGACGCTGCTAACAAGGGCTGGCTGGGAACAGAATCTCGTTGGATCCGGGATGCCTGGGAGACAGCAGCGTTCTAGCCATTTCATTGATAAGAAGCCAAAGCCCCTTGTCCTTGGCCCCGCAGCTGGAAGTGTGTGTCTGTTGGGGGGCCGGGGTGGAGTTGGGTTTGAACACAGGCCTTTATGCCTCTCACGTGTGCTCTGCCCACCACATGCCATTCAATGGAGAGTGGCAGAGCTATGCAGAAAGGTCTGAGACGGTATGTCCTAGCGGGCTTCCTGGCCAGCAAACATTTGGGCTGGGCAGGAATTCCGGGCTTGGATCATGGGCGGATTTCTGTTTGTTTTAACCTAATGTTTGCACACCCTTAAAGGGGCCACCAGTCCAACCTGCTCACTTTGCAGAAGAGGAAACTGAGGCCAGGAGATGGGCAGTCACTGGCCAGAGGTCCCCAGGAGTGGGCCTCCTCATCCAGGACTCATTCCACTGCCCCCGCCTCTTACAGTGGGGTGTCATGAACAGCTGCCATCAATAAGCCTGTGCTCCCCATGGACCCCCTTCCTCAGCTACCCAAAGAGCCTGATCTGGATCACCCTCCTGCCAACTCCTGTTTAAATCTGAACTGTTTGCTTTATCCGCTTTTTGTCATTAAGCTGCTATGTTCAGGAAAACTCCCCAAATACTTTTCTTCTAAATGAGGTGGGGGAAGGAGTTCAGTGAGAGCTGGAGTGGGCCCAGATCACATCCAGGCAGCCTGGACCATGATTATGTCCAAAACAAAGAGAGGGCTGCCAGGGAAGCCCCCACTTTCCCCGACATCCGCTTTCCAAAGTTATGGTTTTCAGTTCCATCTGGCCCCAGTGGTAAAGTGGGGTACGGAAGTTGGGAGGAGCAGAAAACCTCACATTTCTAGTGTGCTTTTCTGGCAATGACCTTGGGAGGTAGGTGTTATTATCCCATTTCACTGATGGCACAACCGAGTCCCATACCCCTGGGGCAGGTCTTCCCATCACCAAGCCTAGCACTCTCTCTAGGTTATTCTCCTAGTCTCTGCTGGCCTCTCCTGAGCTCCTGCTCTCACCGGGGAGCATCTTGTCTTCCAGGGGGCCTGCAAAAGGATCATGGTCCCCTTAGAGGCACCACAACTAGAGAGTACGGGGAATGTCCCTCTCAGTCCCCACCCTACTCCTGACTCCTCCTGGGGCCACCTGGTGCTGCCTCAGCTTTTAAAATGCAGAAAATCATACTTCATCACTTTATGAGGAGACGGAATGAGTGGTTTGGCAAAGTTTGCAGAGTCCCAGATGAAAAGCAGCCGAGATCCCGCGTGCTTTGTGATGACAGAAGCATTTCCAGCTCCACCTGCTCCCTCCCCTGAACTCTGGGGCCTTATTGCACCTTTGGGGGTGGGAGGGAACACGGGCTGGTTCCAGCCTTAAGGGGGAGCCTTTCTCTAAAGTCGCTCTTGTGTCCACTGCCAAGGCTTCCTTGGGGACATCGGACCGCACAGTGAGAGGAAGGCCCTGGGGGAGACTGCTCCTGGCCCACCCCAGCACAGGGGATTTTTTGGAAGCAGTGGAAGCCGTAGCCTGGGGAGTCCTGACCGTGGTTCCAAAGTGAGGAAAGAAGAGGTGTGGGATTCGAATTCTTACCTGGTCACTTACTGTGTTGCCTTAGACAAGTCACTTCACCCAGCTGGAGCTGAAGGGGGCCTCTAAATTCCCTTCCAGCTTAGTCCACGGGTCCTCACTAGCTGTGTGATCCTGGGTATGTCACCCCATGGGTCTGGAGTCAGGGGACTTGGCTTGCAATTTACCGGCTGTGTGACCCTAGGCAAATGCTCCTAGGTTCTATCAAATACGGGGGTTGAACGAGATGCTGTTTAAGGTTTCTTATGGCCTTGGATCTGTGACCACGAAGGAAGGAGAAGGACTTGTCCAAGGTCACATGGCCGGGTTAACTTAAAGGGGGGAATGATGACACCAGCTGCTAATTGGGATCCCACAGACCATGGCACGACCGGCCTCCTTGGGATGTTCTGGGTAAAGAGCTCTGGAAACCGTCCAGAGCATCGGCGATCACCACGCCTGCCTGCCTCTTCCCATCTCCCCAGCACCCCAGTCCAGTGAAGTGAAAGGTGCAATTACTCCTTTGCCTTCCTTCCTCATCCTTCTCAGAGAGGTTACAGATTCCTTCTTGGGGGCGTGTTCACGCAAGCCTGTCATGGCCTGGGTGGGATGGTCCTTGAAGGACCAAACCATTATTGGCTGCATTTCAGAGACCCCAGGAAAGACTGGCCCTGGCTCCATTGTGCTGGAGCTCCATAATACAGAACCATTGGAGTCATGAGAGATTTGGGCCCAAAACCTGAGTTATACTTCTAAACCTGTCAAATGACCATGGGCAAGTCACATCTCTCTGAGCCTCAGTTTGCTCCTCTGTAAAATGGGGGGTCAGCACTAGAACAGAGACTTCTTTGGCAGTTGGCAAAGGCAAATGTGGATGGACCCTTCTTAGAATCATGTTTTCAAACACAAAGTATGTGGTATTACAGAGGAAAGTGATTATATCGAAATATAGGGACAATTTTTTTTCAGTTCCTCAAGACCCCAGGCTAAGAATCCCTCAATTAGAGCATCTCAAAAATCCCTCCTAGCTCTGAACACCTCGAAGACACAAACCTCTAAAACAATGCAGCCAGTTTAAATGAAAGCCTTCTTCTTTATGTCTCTGGGTGGAGGGAAAATCACCAGCTTGTATAATTACAACCAGGGAAGGGATGAAAAAGATGCCTGATTAAGGTGATTAGAGCATATGGCTTTGCTCATATGGGTGCCCAAGACTGAGAGTTATGTCTGGCTAAGGCTGACTCCCCCATCCTTCCCACTGCCTGAAATCTGCACGTGTCATTTAGTTTCAAAGAGGAATATGCTGAGAGTGAGGGTTTGCAGGCAACAAGCTAGCTCTTGCTTTCTGTCCATTGATTGGCTCTTAGATGGGAAAGGAAAGCAGAGGCAGAAAAGTGTTTTGTGAAAAGCACGGGAAGGCAAAAAGATGGGCATCGTCGATGGTGGTGGGGCTGGGGGAAGGAAGGCTTACTAACATTGAATGGGCCCAGCGATTCTGGAAAGCAATTTTAAATTATGCTTTAAAAAAAAAAAGTGACCAAAATGCCCGTGCTTTTTAATCCAGAGCTCTCCCTACAAGGAGGTCAAAGGCAAAAAGAAAGAGCCCAGAGACTCCTCCCCCGCGGTAACGTCTTTATTATCCTGAGCTGGTGATGATGGCAGGGCTCCAAAGTCCCAGTTCGCCCTTACCCTCCATACTGAAACCAGTCGATCAGCAGCTTTTGCCCTTTCTCTGCAGTGTGGTTCCTCTCTCTAGAGTCCTAGATTCACGTCTGAGGCTGATTCTTCCCCAGCGGAGGACAGTGAGATTCAAGGCCCAATGTAATCTGGCTTCTATCCTATCTTTTCTTTCTAAATTCTGAACTTAGCAAACACTCCATATAACAAGGCTTTATTTCCATATACATTGTGGACCAGGAGAGGACTGTACATGAAGCTGCCAATCTCTTACATAGATCTCATTTTTCTTGAGTACACAATAAATCCAGCGTAACACTTACCAAGCTGCCTCATCTGTCTGTGATTCTTTCTCTTTCTGTTTGTGTGTATTTGGGGGGAGGGTAAGGTAGGAAACACCCTGGTAAAGGGATAGGGAGGAAACGCTATCCCTCCTATCTCCTCTCCCCATTAAAACAACAAAACCTTTCATAGCAAACATGCCCGTTGAAGCAAAACAAATCCCCACATTGGCCACATCCCAAAATGTATGTGTCATTCTGCATTCTGAGCCCTTCCCTTCTGTCTTGGGGGCAGGGCACGCACTTCCTCATGGGTCTCTGGCTGGCCCCTGCCTGGGTCAGAGACCCCAAGTCATCCAAAGTTGCTGCCTCTACAGGGTGGGTGATATTCTATTACTGTCTCTGCCTTGGTGCACACCGGTCTTCCCAGGTTTCTTTGGAACCGTCACTTCCATCATTTCTCACAGAGCACACAATTTGCTCCGCCATTCCCTAACCGACGGGTACCCCCCTCCATACTCTTCAAGCCAGTGACGTCAGCCTCCTTGCTGTTCCTCAGACAAGACAATCCATTTCTCAGCCGCCTCAAACCCTTACTAGCTGTGTGATCTTGGCCAAGTCCCTTCTCTCCTTTGCCTTGGCTACCTCAGGTACAAAATGAGGGGAGGGAGGGTTGGACTCTTGGTCCCTTCCAGCTCCAAATCTAGAATTCTGTGTCCATCACATGCTGCTTCCTTCCATCTTCCAACCAACTGATGCTGTGAATACTGGCCTCTCTCCATACAGTGCTTCCCTGCTCTCGTTCCCACAGTTCCCTGAGCCTAGAATGCCCTCCTTCCCCTTCTTTGCCTGTTGGATTCCTATGTGGCCTTCAGTGTTCTCATCTGTAGAATGGGGCCAACCTTAGAGCACTCTGGAGCTAAGTGGACACGGGCTTTTCTGGACGTACCTTGATGTGAGGGTGCTGGGCACAGGTGGTCCCCCAGACGCGGGCGCACCGCTCTTCCTTCCTGTGCTCGTAGAATTCTGGATCTCTCAGGATGGCCACCTTCCGTCCATCGTATTCCAAGGCGAACTCACCACAGCCCTGGAGGCATTTCTTGTCATCCTCAGAGACAGGGAGGACTATGGGGATGCTGAGGTTGAGGACGCCATCTGTGGGAAGAACCCAGGGAGGCATCAGTACGTGGCGCCTCTCACCCCTGATGGGCCATCCCTGGGATGGAAGTAGACAGAGCTGGGAGGAACCTCAGCGGTGATCTGGTCCTACTCCCTCATTTTACAGATGGGGAAACTGAGGGCCAAGCTCACGCGAAGATCACCCTCGTGACCCAGGAGAATCCCAAAGAAGGGACTCTACCACTTCCAACCTGGGTGACCTTGGGAAAGTCCCCTGGCCTCCTTGGGCCTCAGTTTTCTCATCTGCAAAATGGGGGGTTGGACTCACAGGCCTCCTCGGTCTGAAGATGTTGACTCAAGCTGCACTTGCCTTGTTCCCAACCAGCCCTGTACTAGAACCGCCGCTTCTTCCTCGTCTGACTGGTCCTCCCCAGGCCTCTGCCAGCGTGACCCTGGGCAGGCCTCGGAATCTTCGTTTCCAGCTCTGTAACACAGGGTTTGTGCTCCCTGTCTTCCTGACAAGTCAGGATGGCGCAGGTTCTTTGGAAGCCTTACAGCTTTGTAACGATGGGGAGGGGTGATCATTTCAATCATACAAGAAATAGTTTCCAAAAAATCAGCTGACTTTGGCCGATCAACATGGCCCCCAGCACCCAATCTGACTTTTTGGACTGGTGATTGGATGGAATTTTAGCACCAAGGATATTCTAGCACTTTGAAGACCTTTTCCAATGACAGAGAGCCTTCATTGATCCAACTTACCCAAACCAAACCGCCACAAAAACTCCAGTGTGGTCCCAAGGGTGGATTGCAAGAGGCCACATGGGACTCGAGGCCAAGCATCACAGGACATGGACCTGGGAGGTCACTAGTCCAACCTGTCATTTTCCAATTATCTGGAAAACTCCTTTACCCAGAATACCATGGTCTCCAAGGGTGCTAGATGATGCCTTGGTGTGTATCCCCCTTCCTGATCCAGTCTGCCACCCTTTCCTCCATGCCTGGTACGTGAACAAGAGCTTCTTGAGTTGCTCATGCTTTGAGGGGTGATTTCCTCATCTATAAAATGGGAGTTGGAGTGGATAACTTCCTTCCAGCTCCAAATCTATGGTTCTCATTACTACCCATATGACTATGTCTCTTTCCCTCTCTGGGCCTCAGTTTCCCCACATGGAGCAGGTGGTCCCTAAGGTCACATACATCAATAATCTATGATGAAGTTGTGGAAAGAACACTAGCTTTTGAGTGGAGGCCTGGGTTTGTATCCTGGCAAGGGTGCTGACCAGCTGTGTTACCTTGGGAAAGTCAAATTCCTTCTCCAGGCCTGTTGTCTTCTCTGTAAAATGGATTATCAGGGATGGCAAACCACAGCCTGAGGGCAAAATCTGACCCAAATTTGCTTCTGTGTGCCAGAGAGCGAAGAATGGTTCTTCCATTTTAAAAACACAATAAAACTTTATTTTCATATATAAAAGCCAGTCTTGGTGTTACTACTGCCCTCCAGCCCCCCAGCCCCTGCTCAGAGGGAAGTGTGTAGGCCAGTGTGGGGATCACCAGCCATACTCTGGAAACTGGCTCCAAGATGGAACAGGGCCCAAAAGGACAGGACAGATGTGGGGAGCAGTGTGGTGGCCCCCCAAACCCAGATAAGATGCCAGGGGGCTGGAGCTGAAAGCCTCCTGCAGAAGGCCATTAACAAGGTCTCCTTACTCAGTAAAGGCCTTCATCACCCCAGAGTCCCCAGAAAATGGTGTCCAGGGGATGGGGCTGGGCCCTTTCTCCTCCTCCTCCTCTTGCAGGGGCAGGGACCGGACAATGCCACGCACATTCCCCATTATGATATGGGTGATCTAATCCAGTCACCCAAGACAGTCTTCAGGACTTCTATGATTTCAGGGTCATAGATTCAGCTAAGTAAATTAAAGGTGATCCAGATCTGCCCTTCACTATATAGTGACTCTCCAAGGGCTCACAGTGATAAGGGGCAGAGTCAGGATTTGAACCCAGCTCTTTGCTGTCCAAATTCATCTCTATGTTCTATGCTAAGGTCCTTTTCAGAGACTTGCCCACGGTCCCACGGGTGATATGGGTAGTACAGAGCCAAGGTCTGAACCCCATCTCCCAATCCTGCTCTCTTTCCTCCTCGCCCCTGCTAACTACAAGAGGAAACCCAAGGTCAAGGACATTTTCCATGTTCATCCTTGCTCCCTTGGAGCATGTGCACCCCTCCCATTTGGGACCATCCCCGAAGCCTCCATTGGCTTCCAGTTCTATCATTGTCTATCAGTTGATGGTTTGAAATTACTTTCATGCAAAATCACACGTCTGCCGCAGAAGCAGCCCCATAGTTCATGCAGAATCCAACCAGATGTGCCCACTTCAACTCCCATCTAAAACCCACTCGACCTTAAAGGTCTGGAAAAGCACAAGAAAAAGAGTTCTTGGGTTCAGTGACCTGAGAGGAACACGGGCCAACATTCAAAGGCAATATGGCTGACAGCAGACAAAAAACACTCATCAAATCATTAAGGACCCACAGGTCTTCTTCTGCTGGCCAGAGATGGCAGGGTAAATCACAGCTACATGGATCCACTAATTCCCTGAATTTGGCTGGCCCAGTTCTTTGGCCTCCCCACCCATATTGCCTTTACTCTTCCATAACTGGTTGGATCATGAACTCCAATCAATTACCACTGGTTAATTTAGATTCTTTTTTTTTTTTGCTATTAAAAAACTCTAGTTCCAATTAATGTAAAATATCTAATCATAATAATTTGATTACTTGGAAAGTTATTAAAGTACATACCAAGACAGGCCATGCCTAGGGAAACATAAACACAATTAACAAACATGTTTTCAGCCCCCTTTGGAATCATCTCAGAGTCATTTCAAGGTGGTGGAAGCTCACTGGGAACTTCCCCCACATATCTATCACATATAACAATATCTGGAAGCCTAATTGCTCTCCAGGACATTGAACTTGATGCACCCCAGTGTAGTTTGGGGAGACGTGACCAGGGGAGGACTTTATGCCCCAAGGGTGGCCATCTGGCTGAATACGATGGCAGCCCACAGTAAGTGGCCCCATTTCATCTCAATGGAGGAGCTGAGGTGGCTGCTTCTGAACTCTGATTTGGGGACGTAGGTGTGGCAACACTCTAACCAGAGCATCCTGGAGAGGCCCTCCCCCCCCCACCAAAACACTAGCAGCAGCGTAAACATCATGGCTCAGTGTTGGAAGCTCCCAACCCCCTCACCAAGCGCTGACCCTGCTCACAATCCTTTACTTGAGCTGGAGGTTACCATTGCTGACTCTCATCTCACTGCATCTACATAACCTTCCCCTCGGGCAGGTAGGATGGGTCTAGTTATATCACTTTTCAGGAGACTGAGGCTCAGAGAGGTGAAGGATCTTGTGACAGTTTGGGGACAGGATCTGACCCAGGTCCTCCTGCCCTTTCCCTCTCTGCCAGTGCTAACAGACTATGTGGACAAGTTGCTTCTTCACGCGGCACCACAGCCTCGAGGGGCTGCTAGGTCTTCATTGTTGCTCTTTTCTCAATCAAGCCGTGGTTTTTCCAAGGTGAGGCATGCTTTCTCTCCACTGAGACCAGGGGACCAAAAAAATCTCCCTTCCTGTTTTTCTCCTACGTTTGTTGGTCATTCATGGTGGTGCCACGAATGCGCCCTTCATGGGGGATGCAGAGATATCTCAGGAAGGCAGGTCTGAGTGAGGCGCAGCTGCCCTCTAGCTCAGACTGACCTTTCCCCCCCGGTAGCCACTGGCCCCTCTGTTCCAGGAATGGGGCTAGTGTCAGGGAGGTCCCCTGAGCACCGGGAATGGAGTCTCTGCCACAGGGCAGCCAGTGGTGGAAGGAAACCATCTTATGGGCAATAGAATGGCCTGGACCTCGGCATGTTTCTGAGAGCTTGACCATGGGGCTTTGTCCAGGAACTTAGGTTTCCTCTGTCCAGGGCTCAGGCAGCTAGTTTCAGGGTGAGAGTTTCACCTACATATACATACACGTACACACAGACATCCATATATGTGCATGGCACATATATGTTCATGTGTATGTGTGTCTATGCGTGTGTATAAGAGAGGTTCCAAGGCCCTGGGGTCAAGGGCACAAGCCCAGAGTAGCCAAATGGTCGTTCTCAGCCTGCTCTGGGATGTCGCCCCCACAGCATCCACAGGAGGTGCTGAGCCTCTCCCAGCCTTGGCAGGAGGCGATGCCCCAGCGGCCCTCAGCCTTGCGGGCAGGCAGGCAGGGTGGGCAAAACAAAGCAGGGGAAGGAAAACTAACTAACGACTTCTCTGCTGGGTACAGAGGGCAGAGTGCGCTTCATCTTCAGCTCACAGTCCTTATGACTTGGGGAAGATGGCAGCACCTGCTGGCAGCTTCATCTGGCAGAAGGAGCTTGGGATTTGGGGGCAGAAGACCCGCGTTTGAGTCTTGCTCTCTAGCCAGGCGCTGTGGGCAAGACAGCCTCCTCCACCGGGCCCCCAACAAGGGGCTTCCCTGCCGGCCCTCAGTCCTGTGATCTTGTACCTAACCAAGTCCAAAGCTTGGAAGACTGTGGTAAAGCAAATCAGACTGGCCCTAACCAAGACATTTTTCTGCCTCACAATGCTTCCAGCTCAGGCCTCTGTAGGCTTGGAAGGAAAGGATTCCCCTCTTCACTCCAAGCCCCCATGATAAGAAAGAGTGTGAAAGAAGAAATCCTACCATCCAGCAAAGTGTCAAAGTGCATCACTTGCAGAAACTCCTTCTCCCGCATGAAGCCTTTGAGGGGTGTGGCCCAACCTTCGCTCAACACTTGGACCCACTGCAGATCCAGCTGCAAAACAGAAAGAGGTGGGTGAATGGGGGTGGGGTGACAGGTCTATCCCTGGGACAGCCCCCCACCCTGGGCTGTTTCCCTGGGGGTCAAGTCTGTCCTTGGGGCAGCCCCACCATCCTGGCTGTTTCAAGGCACTTTCCTGGTCCCAATGGGCTCTGAGCTCACTTCTATCTTAGAGGCCCAGGCTTAGGATAGACTCATTCCCATGATCTTTCTTTTGTATTCTGGGTAATTAATAATCAATTTATTAATTAGGTCAGCAAATAATCAATAAATTGATAGTGGTTTCTCTCCAGTAACCAAAGACCTCATGATCTTTCTAAGGATGGTGGTGAAAAAGGGTTGGGGTTATTCCTCATCTCAGCCTCCTCTGACCCCTGCCCAGATGATAAGGGGGCTCAGAGACCTCCTGATCTACCTGACTGAGAAACCCCTCCCCTAACCAACCACCTGGTAGCTAGCAGCCAACCTCATTCCAAGGCGAAGCTTCAGGAGTAGGCTTCAGTCTGTTTGAACCTCCCACCACCTACCGGATGGGACATCACCTGTCTGAAGCCTCCCTTCCTCCCCCAAGAGGCTGGGGCTGTGCCTCACACATTTGTTGTTATTGTGAGGCACACACACACACACACACACACACACACTCACACTTACACAATACACATTCACACACACACACTCACAACCCACACACACATATACACACACTCACATGCACTCATTCACACACACATTCTCACATATGTACACACACACACACACTCACACACAAACACACACACCATGTGATGATGCTTCTGTGAGTGGGAGTAGGATCCCCTCCTAGACTGTCAGCATTATGAGGGCAGGAGCCCATCTTACCTGAACTTTGTCTCTGCCCTAACTCTTCGCATAGTCAGTCAGGGTTCAAAATAAATGTGTGGTGAATGAAAGAATGAAAGAATGAATGAATAAATGAATGAATGAATGAATGAATGAGTGGAACAAAGTCTTTGACATGAGGCAGAAACAGCCTGAGGTCCGGGATGTTGGCAGGGAACAGAGGGAGGAATGTGAGCTAACAAGGAGACAGGTTGGGAGAAGACAAGAAGAGGGCAGGCCCAATTACTTGCTAGCTCTGGGACCCTGGGAGAGTCTTGGTTTGATGAAAAGAGCAAACAACTTGGAGTCAGAGAGCCTGGAATCAAACCCCTCCTCTGCCACTGATTAGGATGGGTGACCCTGGACAGGTCACATTACTTCACTTGGTCTCAGTTTCCCCATCTGTCAAATGAGGGAGTTGGGCCACATGGCTTCTGAGGTCCTTTCCAGGTCCAGCTCAATGATCTTAGGTCTGACCTCTGAGGTCTCTTCCGGTCTAAATCCTAAGATTCTTTTGGTCTTCTCTACCCAGCACTCAGCACAGTGCCTGGCACACAGGAGGTGCTTAATAAATGCTTGCTGACCTACTGCTTTAATCAGAAGGGAAGCTCTAAGTGAGCAGTCAGACAGGAGGAAATTGGCTTTGGCGCTCTGAGGCATCTCTGGGATAAGATACTCCAGCGAAAAGCTCTTGGCTTCTCCCAGAGCCGTGTTCCCTCCCCCCCCTTCCCACCTCATCGAGAACTAGGAAGGGCAGTCACCTTGGTGATCAGCAGGGAGGGCAGCTTCTCGGCTTCAGCCCGGGCCGCGTCCACTTTGTTTTCAGGTACGAAAAGTTCATGGATGCCTTGAATCGCCGAATGGGGCACGATAGTCTGAGGCCAAAGGGAACACAGACACCCGCCGTGAAACACGATGATCTCAAGCTGGACGTCCGCAGGGCCAGGACAGACCCTCCCCCCTCCCCTCTGCCCCTCCCCCAGCTTGTCTCTGTTAAGGGGGCGCCCCCACCTACCTGCTCCTGAAGTAAGTCCACCACCTGCTGCACACAGTCGCTCACGGTCGACAGGTTGGTTTTCACAACCAGCTCAGGGGTTTCCGGTTTTTCATATTCAGAGTCGATTCCCGTAAACCCTGGAAGCAGGACACATGAAAATGGCTTTCACCAGGAGGTGATAATTAGCTTAATCGAAGGGGGAGCCCTTGCCCGGGTAATGGACCAGAAATAAGTTCCACTGACGATTCTTGATCTGCAGTCAATACACTTAGGAGGAGAGAGACAGTATCTGTGCCACCTCCCTCCTCTCTACTCTCAAGCAGAATGTAAGCTCCTTGGGGGCAGGCACCATTTTTTAAAATTGGGGTAGTGAGGTGGTACAGTGGGTAGAGTACTGGGCTTGAAGGCAGCAAAATCTGAGTTCAGATCTGGCCTTATTGAACCACTGCTTGCCTCAGTTTCCTTATCTGTAAAATGGAATAATACCATCTACCTCCCCAGGTGGTTGTGAAGATCAGATGAGATCATACTTATAAAGTGCTTAGTACAGTGCCTGGCACATAGTAGGCACCATATGAAAATTCCAGCTATTATTATTATCATTGTCATTATTGTTACTCTTATCCCAGATTTGTTAAATGCCTCACGTGTGCCAGGTGTTCTGGCTAAACAGGCAAAATCAAATCACTTTCCTCCTCCCCCCCCCCTTTGATTTTTAACTGTTTTGGCCTGGAACTGAGAGTTTCAAACCCAGGAATTTCTCAATAAATGATATGAGAATACAGGAAGCAAATTTTCTTCTGGAGGGCCGAGAGTTTCCTGGGCACAAGGATATCCCTCCACCCCACAGACTGGCACCCACTCTGTGACCTAAGAGTCAGCTCACGTCCTGCGCTTCTGGGAGGTGAGGGATGTCAGGGTCCCTCAGAGGTAGGATTTGAACCCAGATCTCCCAGACTCCATCTCTATTCCCTCTGACATGCCACTTCACATAGCGTTTAAAATGTGGGTGATGTCTTTCCTTCCACCTGGGAAATAGCTCTTTTCCTTCTCTCTAAGAACGCCCAAGTATCTGAGCAGGAATGTGCCAGGGAGGACCCCCAGCCCAGCCCATTCTCGAAGGATGGGAATTTATGTTGATGGCCATATTAACATCATTATCGTCATTAGATTTGGAGTTAGAAGGGACTTTGATATAAGAGAAAACTGAGAGAAACCCACCGTCACAAGTGGCAAGTAACCTAGGCAGAATTCGAACCCCAAACCCCTGACTTCCGATCTGTGATTACATTATGGGATCACCGTTTCAGAGCAGGAAGGGAGCTCAGAGGCCATCTATTCCCACCCCTCATTTTACAGATGAGTAAACCGAGGCCCAGAGGAGAGGTGACTCTCAAAGTGGCGTGTTTGTCTCCCTGATGCCTAGAGCAGCGTCTAGCAGACAGGAGGCACCCGAGGGCTGTAATCCAACCCGGTTGGTGGTTGGACACTAGGTCTGCCATCCGTGCCAAAGCACCACGATGTATGACTAACCCCTGCTTCCACCTTATACAACCTGGGGAGAGGCCATTGGTCACTTCTTCAAGGGTGAGGAGAAGAGAGAAGGAGACGCTAGGAAAACTCCCCCGCGCGGGCCTCCCTACCTTTGATTTCCCCAGCCCGGGCTTTCTTGTAGAGGCCTTTCACGTCTCGGCTCTCACAGATGTTCAGAGGGGCATCGACAAAGATTTCAAAGAAGGGGAGTCCTGCGGTCTCGTGAATTTTACGAGCATTCTCCCGGTCCTGTGAACAACAAAAGAAGATCACCGGCTTCGCAGTGAGAGGCATTTGACGTCACCAGGGCCAACTTGGCTTCGTTTTTCCTTTTGTTTGTTTTAAAGTGAAAGTCAAGCAGATAGCAACAAACCCCTATTGAGCAAAGCGCTGGGGGGCGGAGGGGGGGAGAGACACGGAAGGCTACACAAAAGGGAATGGGTCACAGTCCCTGCACTCAAAGGGCTTATACTCTAGCAGGCTGGGAACCACGGAGGAAAACTGCCCGTGATGCGTTCATAAGAAAGCTCCCAGACCTGCCCCAGGAGCCACGCGCCTCGTCCCCCCCTGGAGGTTTACGAGGCTGCCGCTTATCGACTTCCGGCAGCGCTCAACAACCCCAGAGGCTGGCAGGGCTCCTGGAACGTCTCCTTTCATAGAGGAAGGAGAAACTGGGCTGCTTGGGAGCACCTCCTTTGGGGCAGAGAACGTAGAAGAGCGGACTCTGGCATGGGGAGCCAGAGGCCCTGGCGTCGGGCACCCAGGACTCAAAGAGGGAAAGTGAAGGAGATTGTGGCCTGAGAAGAAAACAGGAGAGAGACCGAAAGGCCAGGTGGCCACTCCAGGCGCCTCCCAACCAGACGCCTCCTCCGAGTCAGGGGCCAAGCACCCCTTTGTCACAACTCCTGGAACCCAAGAATCCCAGCGAAGGTTAAAAAAAAAAAGGCTTGGGCACTCTTTCTGCTCCTCCTTTCTTCTGGAAGAATGAGTTAATCCTCCAGGGGCAGAGGTGTGAAGTGCTCAGGTCTGAAGACCTCAGCTTCCAGGGTGTGCTGCTGCAGAGATGGACGGCTGCTTTATTTTTCTGGAGACATTGGGGGTGGGAGCACACTCCTCATGTCTACCTTTCAGAAATTTTCTCCTCTAGGGCCGCGGGGAAGGTGGGAGGACGCCGCCACTGATAGGAAGGGGGGCAGAGGAAGATAAAGACAGAGGTCATTGACCAAGTGCAAGGAGAGAAGGGAAGACATCTGGTTTCTGACCCTTCCTCCAGTTGCTGGAGTCCTCTCCACCAAACTCGCATTCACTCCTCTGTGTAATATGGTAACCACCCACAGAGAATTTAAGTTTCTTCAGGGCTGGGGCTATAATAAAACCAGAGACGGAAAGCCAGAAGAGACCCTAGAAGCCATTCTTGTCTGTTTTCCCCGTGCTTGGAACACGATGGGCATTTACTAAATGATGGCAGGACTGCATAGCCACCGCCCTGCCAGCTCCTTGAAGCCAGTCCACTTCCCACCTGTGAGCCTTTGTCTGAAATGCACTCCTGCCTGAATTGCACCACACAGAATCTCTACTTTTCTCCAAAGCACAGCTCTGGGGCTACCTCTTACACAAGACCTCTTATTACCCTCGCTTCCTCTTGAGATAATTTTTTTTATTACTTTGCATTATGTTCTGAGTCTGCATCCTTAGCAAAGACACAGAGTGTTGCACATAGTAGGCGCTTTGTCTATTGTCATCAAATGAACCCATTGCAGTGAATGAATCCCAAGCCAATTCACCTTCGCAAATGGAGAGATGAAGCTGGTGATGCAAACCAGTCCGGCGTCGGCAAAAAGCTTGGCCACCTCCGCTATCCGGCGAATGTTTTCTTCCCGATCCCCGGCTGAGAAGCCAAGGTTTTTGTTGAGGCCATGGCGCACGTTGTCCCCGTCCAGGGAATAGCAAGGGATGGCGTGGGACACCAGGTACTCTTCCAGGGCAAAGCTGATGGTTGTTTTTCCAGCGCCAGAGAGACCTGTTCGGGAGTAGACGTGGGTTAGTTAGTTGGAAGCCTCTCCTGGGTACCAAAAGATGAGATTGTGACCTAATAAAATGAGCTGGAGAAAGAAATGGCAAACTTCCACAGCATCTCTGCCAAGACAGCCCTCACTGGAGTCACAAAGAGTTACACGCCACTGCCACAATTCAACGTCAACTCAAAGCAAATGTACGCGGCTGAAGTTTTGGACGGACGGGCTTTCAGGTGCCTCTGAATAGGCACAAATCCCGTTTCTAGGCGTGCTTCAAGCCTTTTCATCGCCACAAGCCCCAAGTCTTTGAGGTAGTAGCATCACCTGTTGGTTCGGCTGTCACCTGCGAGCCGGAGCCACCATCGCTGTGGGAAGGCTTGGGCAAAATGGAGACGGGTGCTGGGGGAGGAGGAGGCAAGAAGCTGCCCTGGGGATGAAAGGACTGGGTAAAGAAATGGCGAAACAGGGGAAGGGGGAGGATAGGCTCCTAGCAGCTGTATGCTGTAGAATGGCCCTGAGGATTGTGGCCGCATACCAGACAGGTCTACTAAGTAGAGAACATAGTAACTTGAATCATCAGATTTTGACACATTGGCTTGGATCCACTTGATAATCTGGGTACAGAAAGGAGCCTGGATCTCTCCTTTGCACCAGGGAACTCACATTCCTGGGGCTCCAAGGAAACTCTTTTCCTTCCTCAGACACATTGTTGTTTAGTTATTCCAGTCATGTCCAATGGTTTGCCATTTCCTTCTCCAGCTCATTTTGCAGATGAGGAACCTGAGGCAAACAGGGGTAAGTGACTTGCCTAGGGTCACACAGCTACTGGCAGAGGCCAGATTTGAACTTGGGTCTTCTTGACTCCAAGCCTGGCACTCTATCCACTTCACCACCTAGCTGCTCTCTTGGACCCATTGCATCATGGTAAAGAGAACCAGACGGGAGTCCTGGATTCAAGCCTTAGCAGTGCCCAAACCCCCCTACATGAGCTCAGGAAGGTGCATTTCCTCTCTGGGATTCGGTTTCCTCAAGAGATAGACTCCAGGATCCTGAGGGTCGTTTTTGGCTCTAACATTCAGAGATTCTCTGAAAACCACTAAAGCAGAGGGTATGAGCAGTGGCTGCTGCCACCAGGAGCCATGCACTTCCCAGGAGAGTGGAAGCTTCTTGAGGGCAGGGACTATTTTCTTGGATTTGTCTTTGTATCTCCAGTGCTTTTCACAATGCCTTGACACACAGTGGTCAATTCAGTTCAACTCAACAAGCATTTAAGTGCCTACTACATGCTAGGCAATCAGGAAACAAGAAGAAAAATGAAACCCTCTCTGCCTTCCAGGAGTTTCTATTCATGGGCCCTGGGTTTGAATCCTGGCTCTGTGACTTACTGCTTGTATTGCTTAATAAATATTTGTTGAACTGAACTGAAGAATGTGACATACATACATACAAAGAGAGAGAGTTGGGTAAAATTTAAGCCACTGGTACATTTCTTGTGTGTAAATCATTTCATCCTAACTGTAACATACTTTTACGTCTTCGATATGAATGTCTTTCAGACCACTGGGCACAACAGTGTACCAGCATATTAGATCATCAGAAAAATGACCACAAGAATATCCCTTGCCATCCCAAACGGCATGGACTGGATTCTGGAATATTGGGGCAGGAAAGAAGACCAAAGAGTATCTAGTTCAGCCCCCTCAGCACACCCCAAGAGGTAGAGGCTATCTTTTTGAAGGCTCGCCATGAAGAGCCCCCACCACTCCCCAGGCGGACCACTACTGCTTTGGACAGCTCTCAGTGCTGACGAGTTGGCTCTTCTCTAAATCAAGCCTAACTCTGTCTCCCTACAATTTTTCTCCGTTGTTCTTAGTTCTACCCTCAGAAGCCCAATGGCTGAGTCCAGGTTGACATCCCCCTTCCCCCGCCCCAGTTAGCATGGAGTTTATCTGAGCCAACATCTCCAGGCATTTTTAACTGAACTGAACAAATGACCACACCACCTTCCGATAACAAGACTGGCCGACGACGTACCTGTCAACCATACTGTACAGCCCCGAAATCCTCCTCTGGTCCCGACAACCTGGCCTCTCTTATTCCTGCTCACATGGTGAGCCTGGTAGACCACATTGGTGGATTTCTGTTCGACATCCTACAAGATGAAATATCACATTGTTTTGGTTAATGAAACATGGTTTTTTTTTTCCTTCATGGAAACACAGCAAAACATAATACAATCGAAATTCAGTGATGGGATTTGGTGATCTCCTCTCCTGTCTGTGTACTGACCAGCTGACCTGCAGCTGGTGCGAGACATATGACTAACTCCCTTTGTAAGGGAAGAGACATCTTGGAGAAGACAGCTCTAAGCAGTCTCATGTCTTGGGTACCATATTGCCATCTGGGGTCAAGGTCATGTCTGGGGTTTGTTTGCCTAAGCCACGATGAGCACTGGGGGTTCTTTGTTCCTTCTGTGTGTATGTACTCAATTCACATGACTTTGCAAAGTCTGGAGAAAGTGAAATAAGAAAGAGCTGCTGCTGCTGCTTGGCGGCCCTTAGTACAGAGCTAAGATGTTGTCCTTTGGAGATGGATGCACCACTGTCTTGAGCATAGCTGGAAGAACCACCGTGAGCTGCAGCTAAGGTCATCCTAATTAAAGGATTGGAGTCAGTGACAGGGTCCTAGTCAGGAACAGGACAAGGAAGATTATGAAATTGGGGGGGGGGGAGTTCATTCTTGAAAGAAGCACCATATTAAAACACGTAAATAACCCCTAAAGGAAAATGAGCTCAGGTGAATCACTATGAACAATCTTGATTGTAGGGAATATGAAATGAAATGCACATCTCTCCTTTTGTTAGAAACATGGGGGCCATAGGATCAGGGTACTGCAGATACAGTCAAATCCTAGTGGCTTTGTCAATCAGTTTTGCTTAACTGCTTTTCTTGGTTACTATGGAGGGTTCAATGAGGGCGGGGAGGGGGTAGAATATCAGAAGATACAACGGTATTAAAATTTAAAAAAAGTATTCTGAAAAAAAAAGAAGAGAGGAAAAAAGGAAGGAAAGAAGGAAGGAAAATCTCCCAGTGGCCCTTTGTGCTCTGGGTAGGGTATTGTCCTTCCTAAAGGAGGTCTACGTCAGAGGTGTCAAACTCAAATAGAAACAAGGCCACCAAATCATGCACAAGGATACCCGTGGGCAGCATTTGGACTTAGAAAACCATATGTTCACACTAGCCTCTAGCTCTGGGATCCCCAGCTCACTGGTGAGCTCTTGCTTCATCTTGCCCAGCTCTGGGCCTCCCTCTCACTTCCCAGGTCTTTCCACATCATGCTGCCATGTTCTATGCTTGGAACTGTCCAGTTGCCCCTTACATGTTGTCTTCTGCATGAGAAGATAAGCTCTTTGCACTGGCTGGAGCATAGTAAGCACTTGATAAATGCTCTATCATGTCTCCTTACGTCTTCTGTCTGTCTTCTTAGCTATCAATCATCTATCTAGCCTTTTTTTTTAAAAATCTAGACAATGGGGTTAAGTGACTTGCCCAGGCTCATACAGCTAGTAAGCGTTATATGTCTGAGGTTGGATTTGAACTCAGGTCCTCCTGATTTCAGGGCCAGTGCTCTATCCACTGCACCACCCAGCTGCCCCCCCTTCTTTTTCTTTATCTGCCTTCCTATTTCTAAAAATATCTTTCATGGCTTCCTATTCCCTTTTGGACGAACTAGGAATCCCTTGGCTTGGAATCTAAAGCCCCCTGCCATAGCTCTCGTCTCCAGGATCATTTCATATCACTACCCTTCAGGCACTTTATGTTCCAGCATACACACCTGTTTGCTCTTCCCTTACCCATGTGTTCTGTCTTCCACCTTAGGCCTCTGGTTAGGCCAGCGCTTATGCCTGGAATGCACCTTCTCCCCTGTTCCTTTGTTCTGTTCACAACTTCATGACTGGGGAGCCATGTCCTCTGAGAAGCTGCTCCTCATCTCTCTAGTGGGCTCTCCTGCCTGAAGGGACTTTGTATTTACTTCTCTGTGTTACCTCAATGATGTTACCCTCATGGAGTGTTTGCTCTCTGAGGGCAGAGACTGTTCCTTTTTAGTGTCCCTGGTGCCTAGCTGGGGACCTAGCTCACGGTTGATAACTAAATCGTGTTTATAGAACTGCACTGAACACTAGCTGACCTGCACAGGGGATGGGAAGCATGGGAAAGTGCTTTTCATCCATTCTCTAAATTCCCTCTCTGCTCTCAGACACCTGAGATCCCCTGTTGGCATTTCATTCTCATCACCAGCCTATGGTGCAAGGACTAGAGAGACTAGAACAGAAACAGTCCTTCTCTCCTCTTTGTTGCTTATAGATTGGAGACTACACAGGTGGATAAGGTCAATGCTTTCTGAATTGAATAAAAGCATTGGGGTGCCAGCCCGTTCTCTGGAGGCTCATTTGCTGAGACTGTTCTCAGGACAACTTCAGGAGGCAGACAGGACCTTGTCCCGCACGGATCTGGATTATAAATATTATTATTATTATTTATTTATTATTATCCTAGAGCTACAAAAAGAATAAGGGAAAGGCCAAAGATTGGTGGGCAGGTCCTCCATGGAGGGCTTATAATAAGATGTGGACAAGGGTTTTGATGGGACCAGCCATGGGTGGTGGAGGGGGTGTCCCCTCATGGATCACACAGAGTCTGTGATCAGTTTTATAAACCCCAGGTGGCAGCATTGGTGGCTGCTCCAGAGGAGAAGGAGGGGATTGTTCAGTCAGCTTCTTTTCTTTTCTTTCTTTTCACTTTTTTCTTTCCTTTTTTAGGCAAACTATTTGGTTCCTCATCTACAGCCAGCTGGGCCACAAGACAGGCTGATCTCTGCACAGTGTCCTGTCTGACAAGGGTCATGGCTGCCAGAAACGTTCTGTTTCTCGCTGAAGCCTTGCCCTCTGGGTACATATCCTGTTGTGAATTAGAACAGAAAGGTCAGCAAAAGAATGCCGTTTCCCAATGGAGGATCAAACCCTGGCCATTAAAGCCTCACAGACAGCCTTCTTTGTCCCCTTGTGGCCTTGGGGCTGTAATGGGAACAGCATGGCTCACTGGGAGGAGGACGACATTTACAAGTGCTTATCAGGCACTGGGCATGTGCCTGGCATTGTGTGTGCTAGGGCTGGTCCCTCCCTCAAGGAGCTCACATTCTAATGGGGGAAGAGACAGCGTGCAACAGCTGTGTATGCAGAGAATCTGCACAGTATGGATGGGGAAGGGCACCGGCAGCGGGGGGGGGGGGGGGAGGTGCCTCCTGCACAGGGCAGATTGGGGTAGAGTCTCCACGGAAGCCAAGAGGCAGAGGTGGGGACGGAGGGCACACCAAGCATGGGGCGTGAAGAGGGGAAAAGGCATGGACTCAGGAAATAGAGAAGCATGTGTAGCAAACAGCCAGGAGACCTGTGTAGCTCGATCGGAGAATGTGTTGGGAATAGAGGGAAGCCAAGTATGAGAAGACCAGCAAAGGAGGAAGAAGGGCAGAAACCACTAAGCTTGGCAAAGGGATTGAGTGAAAATCAGGAGCTGTGAGGTGGCACCTTGGTGGCAGCTGGCACCCATGAGCTCTTCCCTGGCCTCTCTCCACTCAGATTTATCAAAGCCCAGTTCTTCTGGGACCAGCAGTTACTCTGTGTTCTGGGATCTCTCTGCCTCACCTCAAATAAATGAGGGGGCAATACGGGCTTCTTGTCTGAGATTTGCACAGTTATATTACATGGGCATTACTGCAGGAACAGGGGACCACAGGGGAGTCCTGTGGAGAAGCAACTGTCTCCTAGGATGCTGTAGCCACAGCCACTGGAGACCCAGAACAGGGGAGTTCTGGGCATTTTCAAATGCTTCAACATCTGAAACAGACACGGCTTTCTTAATGGGAAGAATATGTATTACCATTGGCTTTGCCACCTCTGACTGGCAGCTGAAACCCCCTAGATGTGTCAGCAGCTGGGCTCAAAGGCTTGGTTGTCTAGGTTAGCTCTCTATGCACAACATCACTCTGAAACTCCAGGAACATCTATTATCTATCTGTCTATCTGTCTATCTATCTATCTATCTATCTATCTATCTATCTATCTATCTATCTATCTATCTATTGACCTATCGATCTATTATCTATCTGCTGTCTAGCATTCTATCAATCATCTATCATCTATCCTCTATCTGTTATTCTGGCAGTCTGTCCATTTGTCTATTTATCTGTCTGTCAGTCTGTCTTCCTGTGTGTCTATCTAGCTATGTCAATATTTAAGCATTAAGAAATGCAGAGCTTTTCTATCCTCAGTCAACATCTTTAAGCTGTTTCCTTGCTCCTTTACAAACGTGACTCTCTGTCTGAATGCCAAGGCCCACTTAGGGACCTGCCCTGGGTTAGCCCAACACAATCCCCAGAGGACATGCTCCACAAATCTCTTTTGCAGCCTCCAGTTAATCCTCTGAGCTCTCTTGAGTCACATCCCAGATGTCCCATGCTGGTGATGAGTCTTACTGCCTAAGGTCCTAGGCCTGAAACCTAGAGATCCCTCTTTCCCTCCACCCCCAGACTGCCCAGTGGCTAGAAGCTCCCTGCTCTGCCTGAAATGCTCATGTGTTGTTTGGCTGTCCTATTCCATCGGCTGACCCTCCTCTCAGCTCTTAAATGAGAAGGAGGAAGTGTGCTCTTCTATGCCCTCACATTCCCAGGAGGCCTGAGACACAGAGCTTAGCCCTCTGAGCTGTTGTCAGGCAGCTGAAGAGACCAGCAGATGCTGGAAGAAGACCAAATTTTTTCTACAAGTTCAGATGGACAAAAGGGCCTCCCTCCCACCAAGAAAATACCAAATTCCCAATGGGCTTGGGATTTAAGCTTGCCAAGGAATGACAATGCATCTAGAGTAAGAAGAAAGACTGAGAAAAGGTAGAAAACCCATCCCAAACCACAGAAACACTTGAGACATTTTGAGAACAAATTTGGAAAGGATATAGACATACATAGCCAGCGACTCTAACTCTAACCCTAAGGGGAAAACACAGTTCTCATTTTTCTTCCAAGAAAATAATGTGTCTGTGCCAAAGATGTTACGATACCTGCACACTGGCATTATGGACCAGGAGGGCTAGGGCCCTCTC